GTAGAAATTTGCATCGATCGGGAATGAAATTAAATGGTCATAATGTGTGTGTACAAGTACAAATGCATGTAGCTTTCTACATTCAGAACATAACTATGTATGTTGACCTATTTGTATTATATTTCAACAAAATTTGTTGGTGAGGTCCATGTTCATGAAACTGACTAGAATGATGCAATCTGAAATATTTGAAAGATGCAAACTTATACGAGTAAAATATACGCATGGGCATTTCTCTTTATTTTTTTGATTATGCAAATTTGAATATGGTATTCGGAGATTCGTTGGATGAGTGAATATTCAGTTATTCAGCATATTCGGCATTGCCCTAATGTAGGCTTGTACAGATGTTCATCAATACAGTATTCTACTTGAACCTGCCTGTACTTTTTCTGTGATTCTATTTTTAGGTGTTATGCAGTGGTGGCGCCAGACTCTACAATTTGGGGGCGGGGGGGGGGGGAGGGGGGCAAGTGAGAGGCAAAGAAATACTGGCTGTGGAAAACTAAAAAAGGGAGGGGGGAGGGAAGGGGGCTGGACATCATTTGACCCTTTGGGGCGATGTTCAAATCCATACATGAACCCGGTATGTATTTATGAATACATACATGTAGGCCTACCAGTAGCTGCATTTTAGTACCCATTTCCAGTTCTCTCCAGTCTTAATTATATACATTCATTGACTTTGAATCTCTTTGCTATTTTCCTTTTCTTTTACTTTAATTCTTTCCTTTTTCCTCTTTTGTTGGATTTTTTTTGGGGGGGGGGGGGGCAAGGAAGACCATTGGGACAATTACTGTAGGGATAAGAATGAAAAAGCACAATATTTGGGTAAATACCTTTATTGTAATTATGACTTTCTGTTAATACAGACAGTAGTAACAAACTTTCTGTCCTTGTTACGCACGTAACATTCTGAGCATGTTATCTTATTAAAATCTGCTTGGAAAGTCTGAAATTCTTGGTGAGCACAATCCTCAACAATGGGGTGGGAATGTATGTAAAAGGAGAAAAGAGGACAAACAACTTGATGTTATTATCCGCCTTCATTTTCCAATCCCAATTATCCCATGTAACACTTTTGTACCCCTAACCATGCCCTAACTTTTCAGTGTGGAATGTCCCAAAAGTTGCGTAGGAGGTACGGTATAAGAATCACAGTCTCAACAGGATGAAAGCCAAATTCAATTTCCAGTTGCACGGAACAAGAAAATCTGTTTTTCTGGCTGCATACACTGGGCATGAGCCACAGTGCCCATAATGTGTGTGTCATGGATGTGGTTGCATGCACAATTTGGCCTCCAGACAAATTGCAATGTAATCAGCGTTGGCTGAAAACACTGGCCCGTGGGCTGAAAACACTGGCCCGTGGGCTGTCCAGCTAGTGATGGAATTACCATGGAGGATTACCATGGAGGGTGCTGTGATTAAAAGGCCTTTCATACTATCCAAAATCTCTGTGGCTGACCTGGGTCTGATGTCCAAACAAAGTTTGAGAACCCCTTTCAGTCACACTAAAAGAAATCCTCACAGTTGCTACATGGGTCCAGTATACTACATACACTGGTAAAATCCCGTAGTGCTAGACAATTTAGTTTTAAGTATTTGAACTTCGATTTGACGTTGAGGTAAAAATCAAGGTACATATTGTAAAAAAAAAATTTATGAATATTATTTATGAATACATCGACACAGTTGTTCGTGGTAGCTGACATTTTTGAAGTTTGACATGTTTAAAAGACTTAAATTAGGGCTATTCTTCTTCACGAAAGCTCACTAAACACTCTTGTTAAGTGGCTGTTCACAAAACTCTGGCATTTGATAAAAGAATAAACCACTCAACTATACAAATAAAGATACAGCAGAACATCACTTTAAAGAAGGTATTGGGGTCCGTAAAAATGTTCCTTATACTAGTGGTCATTCGTTATAGTGATTGTGCGTTATAATAAAATTTACTATTTCGGGAGCCAAAAGGAGGTGTTCGTTATAGCCAGATGTTCATCATAGTACTTAGTGTTCGTTATAGCGGCGTTTCACTGTATATAATGGACCTCTTTCGTCACTTTTTTCAAACATTCTGATTAGTAATATACTAATTTTTGGAAACTTGGTGGAGTGATGGAGTATTTGGCACAGCCCTCACTGCAAGGGTAGAAAATCCATAATCTACATGTACAGCCAACCCTTGCACACTCTGGTGTAAGTGTGAATGGAACGCCTTGCCTCTGTTCCTTGCTCTACCAGGCAAGTCAAAAAGAAAGTGACTGAATTAGAAAAAAGAGCTAAACAATAATTGGTTCACTCCATTTCATAAAAATCGTCGCGTTTTTTACATACTGGCGAACAGGTGGTAGCACCACGCCTTTTCCAATACCAGCAAACAGGTACATGTACAAAATGTATACACAATACGTTTTCGCCAGTATGTAAAATGCGTGGTGCTACCTGTTTGTTCCTCAACAAATCCAATGTACAGTATATAAAAAACGCGACGAAATAACATCTATGGCAATTAGGCATAAAGTACATGTTATTGACTAGTACTGAAAATTTTCACGTAATTTGCATACTTTATTCCCAAGTTATGTCTATTTTAATAAAAAGATCACAAAATTCAGCTGTCCACCACTGATTATTTACCGTTTTACGAACTGATGAATACCCATTAAATACTATGAAATGGACATTTTCCAACCTCCATGGATGAAAGAAAACTTGCAAAGGAAAACATACAAAAATCGCCATTAATACCTTTTCAGAATAAAAAAGGAGTTGACTTGTTCTTTTCATTCAAAACACAAAATCTGACAGTAAAACTAATGTTTCAGTCTTAATGTAAATGATTAAAATCTCCTTTGTATTTGAATGCTTTTGTGTGTAATCTGTAATTCTCACTTTGCTCCATAGCTCCCAATGGCATTCCACGGACAGCTATAAAAATGGGGTCTTTTAGTAATTTAAACATGTTTAATTTCTGATAGTGTGGATCAATTTCAGTAATTTTTTTTCTTTTCAGATGAGTGGAAGAACATGCTCTTTTAAGACATACTTCATTTGTGTATCAAATTTAATTGCTTTTTAACCCTAACCGCCCTGAATCCTCCAAAATCCTTTTTGCAAATTGGAGGAATTTGCAGGATTGAGGTTACATGGCAAAAGTGCGTTGCTGATTTCGGAGTACGCACTGTGTCAAGGTCTTGGGCCGGACCTTGTGTTGTTTATGCTCAGCCGTGCATAAATTTAGGATGTCACTGCCTCTGCCTCAGCCTATTGACAGACATAGCCGGAGGATTTTGCAGGATTCAGGCAGTGGTCATCCCTCCATGGACCATATTCAAGAAATAACGGAGGAATTTGCAGGATTGAGGCTATATGCTATTTTTCCATGAGGCCAATTGGAGGATTTTGCAGGATTGAGGCTACATCCTAGCAAAAAGGCCTAGGGAGTTAGGGTTAAGGGAAAAAATAAGTAATCTGGGTCACTTTCTTTTTGACTCGCCCTGTGTATGGCCTGACTACATGTACATGCAGCATAGATGATAATGTGAAAAAAACATGTAGCATAAACATGGACAGGACATTCCTTCATTACAAAGAGTGAGATGTAGCCAAGATTAGTGGCATAAAACTTTCCAAATGCCTGGATACAGCTGGGAACGAACATCTATATATGGATTCTAAGCTGATTTAAACAGCTTTACTTCTCTTTGTATTTATATACCGGTACCATACCGTAATTAAGAGTGTCCGTGAAAGTCCGATAAGTCATTCATTGATTGCCCAGGGGTTAGAAAAACATCTTGTGTGCCCTGGATCAAGAAAACTTTTTTTTTTTGCTTGCTGTACTTCCTGGTACGAATTCTTCGTTCTTATTTTGGCTTGTGACAGAAACAATGTGATTTTGATCAAAAAATTTAGTCCAACAGTTAGTGAAATCTTGTTTTGCAAGGAGATTCCATCCAGTGCCCCCATGTGTCCTTCCCCATAAAAAAAAACAAGCTAGAAATGATCTCAGAAGCTTCGGCCAGTGTAGACCTGCTGTAGCCTGTAAGTCATGTACATGTACAGTACATGATATGAAAGTCTGTCCTTATAATGCACAACTACTCACGTGGTCATGACTGCCAATTGAAAAGGATTCCCATTATTATGTTGACTGTCAGTTGGTGCATGGAGTGTCTTATACTAGCATGTCGAACACCCACGTGTGCAGTACAGTGCTGGCCCCAATGTTACCATAGATGAGTGACCTCGCGACCCAATTTTCCATTTGACCCAATTTTCCACCAATAAATTGATAGCTGGTCAGTGGAGACCTGAAGCACGAGATGTTGGGAGGGCCTAAGGGACAAGGTGATTGATTGCCAAAAAAGCCATTTTTTAAAGTTTGTTACTAACCAGCCAAGAGACAGGATCATTTTTTGAGCTGCTGTTCCCTGGTAAAAATAGCAGAGTTGCTCCAGATAAACAAGACAACGTCCAGTATATGGTCTATGACCAATAGTAACAAGACATACTGTGGCATTTACTCTCCCCCCCCAATATTTTGTAAAGACTGTCCTTTTTGTAAACTTGTGCCTGTTCTTCACCAGCATTTCAGGCTGGCGGGCAACTCTGGGTGTCGCAGACAGTGCCGTTGATTTACATTTGTCTTCCTCCTATCTTGTTGGTCAACTTGGGAAGGTCACCATAGAGTTGCTCATTGGTCACTTTCTGCTTCCAGCTGAAGTTAATTAAAGGTTATGCGGAGCATCCAAGTGTGGCAACCATCATGGGACTTGGCCATGGACTTAGTTAGGATCCAAGTTTTGTACCCATAAAAGAGGATCCTCTCGATTACTGCTATGAAGATTCTCTTCCCTTCTCTTCTCCCATAAGCAACACTTTTTCCCCTGCTAAAAAGAAACAACAATCCTTGTCATGCAAATGAAAAATTAAGCAAATGTACAATCTAATGAATATTTTTTCCTTTTCCCTATGCTTTTGACTACTTTTAGCCTCTTGCAAAATGGGGCAAGCTGAGAGAAGACAACATCAACAAGTTGCCCGAGAGCGCCTGGCGCTGTCTGTGCCACTGCATCACGTGGAGTTTGGCTGCCTACGTTTTGCTCAAAAACTACCCGGATATTTTCTTCAGGCCAGATACAGCTTTCAAAGGTTTGTTTTTACGTGTTGTTTTTATTTCACTGAAGCAAAAACATTTCATTTCCTGAAATTAGCTTTGTGTGCTGGTTGGATTTGACATGGTGTTTTAACATCTGTACATTGGATTTGTTGAGGAACTAATTTCCTGTGACAGAATTACACAAATCAAATTTTTGGAGAAAAAAAGGTTTCCATTCAATACGTCATGCTATGCAATTTAAAATTTGTGGGTGGAACTAGGATTGGTTTTAGAGTAGCATAACAGACCATGGAAAAACTAAAATGCATTCCCATGCTATGTTCAAATTTCTTCCCAAAAAGTAGGATTCCTTTTCTAAGTTCCTTTTTTTTTCTAGCAATAAAAAAATTATTCACTTTTGAATGCAGAGACATCGACAGAAAAAATCGGCCCGTGATTAGTTATTGAATTATTACTTTACTATTGCAAATTATGAAATCATTCCCGTTCTTGTTGGGTAGGCTGGTTCCCGCCCCTCAATCAGTATCCATAATGTACGCTGCAAAGCGTATCAGTTCTAGTCTGAGTGTGACCCGTTGCCCAATGGAGCCTATGTCTCCGGTCCAACGTCTGATATATCTAAGCATGCAAAGAAATTTGTGAAGTCATTCAATCCAAAATTGATTGGTAAATTTCAATGCCACGTTTTTGTAATACAATGACGTGTACAAAAATGCTACTCATCGTGGGTGTGATGTTTACGCACGCGATGAGCTCGCAGTACGCGCGTATAGAAGGTGCCCGCTGATTGGTCAGTTTCTTGCAGTCATACGCAGTCTAGTTGCATAATAAATTGCCCAATCTGCTTGATACCTGTGCAAGGGTCTATTACATAGACTATAATTATGTTTGTGCCCAAAACAACAATCTTTTTTAGAAAAAAAGTAAGACTGCTGCAAACTGCTTACTGACTGGATGGACCTGAAATATATAAATCTAAAAATTAATGTGGCCTGACGTTGCGAACTTAGCAAGTTCTTCTTCAGAGGCTAAAACAGAAATCTTTTTTAGAAGTTTGAAGACGTCCAAAGGAGGGAAAAAAGGAGGTTTTTAGGTTAGAATAAAACATACAAGTTGGACATTTATTCATAGAAAAAAAATTCAAATTGTTGAAGAGCACGGGAACACAAGTTTAAAAGAATATACTTTTATTCCTCCACGACGAAACTAACAAAAAGCCAACTTTTCCCACTTTTGAAGAGTGGGGTTTAAATACATGTAAGTGGTATGTCAGACAGTCAGCGGCCAGAGATTCAGTAGAAATTGAATATTGATATTGGAAGCAAATTTACATAGTAAATACTGCAGAGAATGTTGAGGTCAGCGAAGCTGTTTGGTAAACATCTGTACTGCACTCTGTCTTCAGTACTCCTAGTAGAATCGAATGCAAGGTACATGGGTAATTGTCCATACAACATCATCCTCGTTATGTACCTTTGAAAATGTAATCTTTCAGTCATGTGGTCCTTCAAATTTTTTAAAAACTTTTTCTTGCTCTTTACCCTTGCCAACCCTTTGTGGTTTAGGGTCAATTAACTTTAACTGTCTCAAAGTCAAACAGTACCTCCTACAGGTGTCCGAGGTAAAAGGTCAACAAACTTTTTCAGTCAACAATGCTGTATCAATGGGCCTAATCTCATTGTTTTGCTCAAAAAGATATCCATTGTCCTTGCACAAAGAATCATTTTTTTCTACAGGTATGTTGTAACATAAATTATAATAAGGGAAAAAGTGTGTTTCTGGTAAAATCAATAAGAAACCGAAAGGTTGCAACGTACGTGTACATTTAAGGTTGCAACTTGTGTATGTACGTGTATGTACGTTCAATTTTTTCTACAAAGTATACATTTTTCTTTTGTGTGTGTTTGTTTTTATTTTTGTATATCTTTTGTACATGTATGTACATACATGTTCACAGTACGTATACTTCTGTGTATATCATTTACACGTATTGGAATGAGGACAACTGGACAAGTACCGGTGGGCATACTGGTATTTGTAAGAAGGTACATATTACTTCATTGTGTACTTTCAAGTATTCCAGACTTGTATTTGGTATATTTTTCACAAGTTATCCAAAAATCATGCAAGAAATAAAATTAAAAAGAAAAGTTATAACTATAAAAAAAATAAGTTATAACTCAAACTCAAAAAAAAAAATCAAACTGCCGACACTACATGTACAAATGTACATGTTTGTCAGTCGGGTTACCAAAAATAAAGTTTTGGGGTTTTTTCTTTTGGCCTCATGACTTGATCACACTGATCTGTGTGTGAGCTGCACCACTTGCGGCTGAGAAGTCTCCAAACTCTACAACTATACAATTTGGTTCTCTCAAAAAAAATCACAATTGCATGTATTGTGAGTGCTATGTTGATATTCAAGGGTACATGTACATGAAGTGGCCTGCACAGCTGCCTAGTTAAGTTTCTTTGTCAGTGTAATCTGTGAGACAGGTTTTATTTCACTGTTGTGTCAAAGAAGGTACGTCGTACTGGCAAGTGGCAAGGGCGGATCCAGAGCACAATTTGGGGGGGGGGGCCAAAAAAAATTTTGGTCCCACAAAAAAGTGGGTCAAAAAAATTACGGCGTGGGGTTCAGGGCCCGCTTAAGGGCCCCGAAAATTTTTTGGATTCTAGATGCTCTGTGGTGCGATCTGAGGCAATTTCTGACCACTTTAACCATGTTTTTTTTGTGGAAAAGATGGTGGTGTACCCATTGCCTGCCTTTATTGCGATGTCGTATAAAAACAAAAAAATTGGTTTCGTTTTGGGGGGGCCATGGCCCCCTTTGGCCCCCCCCCTGGATCCGCCCTTGGCAAGTGGATATGTAACAAAAATCCGGGGCCCTAAATTCCAATGTGTTGTATGTATGTATGTATTCATAATAAAGGTACCGGTACCTATTTTATTACTAGTCATGGTTATACCTCATTTAATATAAATAATTACTGAAAAAGTACCAGTATCAATTAACATTGTTGCACAAATAATTTAAGCATATATACATGTACAAAAATACATGTATCAGTGTATACTGTACACAATGTACATGTATTTCATTGCAGTTGCAACATTATGAGAATGAAAAAAAACCTCTTATTTTATTTCATAAAACATAATACAAAATTAAAGTATGTGTACATTGTACATGTATGTAAGGTTCATTCCATTATTTGAGGGGCTTTGATTTCAAAACTTAATTTGTACAAAATAACTAGGGAAATATTTGCAAATTAAAAAAAAAGAATATTTTTTATAGATAAATTTCTATAAATCAAGATCTTCTGTCTGCTTACAGTGTCGTAATTTATCAGGCACAGAGCTCAATTACATTGTAGGTTTGCAGTTTCTAATATTGCTCTTATAGCTTTGAAAATACTCATATTCTACATTATTTTGTTGGGAAAGACTTGCATGTATTACTGAGCTGGGCCAACTGCTATTGACAAGAATCAAGAAATACCCAATAATGCAGATACTTGTACTGTATGGTGTATTGCAAGAGGGGGGGGGGGGGGGGAGACACAAAATAAGTCCTACACATTCTTACAGTATGTATGTATACATGTACATGTACCAAAAATGTGTGATACACTGAGTGCTTTCATGGGATTGAAGGATCATATGCTGGTTTGCCCAGATATGGAATGCAGTTTGTTCTTTTCTTTTTTTGTAACAGTTCAACTATAACAATAACTGTAATGTGGAGGGAAATCTACATATCCTTTCTTTGTGATCAAATCTCCCTGACTAGATAAACAGCACCACTGCATGCAGTGCGTGTCTTTCCTCCTATTGGTCAGTACGTAGATGGGGTGATGTCTGTTCACGTCACGAAAGGAAGTGCTGATGACTGAAGGTCGAAGGCTGAAGGGAAAAAAAACAGACATTTTTTGTCAAGTAAACGTTTGTGTTTCAATTATTTATTTAATTTTGGTGGGTTTTTGGGGTCACAGGACAAAAGGCAGTGCAAAAGTTGAACTGTCATGATAAGCCTAGTTTTTAATAGCTGTTTATTTATGATTTGATATTTCTGTTATTTATATTGGAAAAGAGTTGGCTAAATTTGACATCAGTGTTCTCCAACATGTAGAACAAACCTGGCGCCCCGCCATGCTTTCTGCGGCGCCCGCCATGTTTAAGAAGTCCCCGCCAAGCTTTAAAATCCTGCCGCCAGGTTTAATTTTTTTGACTCTACAGTGTACATCTACAACCAAAATAATTGATTTCAGTTGTTTTTCCACACATTAACAATGTATTTCGATGTCATCCCAGCCCGATCGGGGTTGTCTTAAAATCTCGCTGAATCAATCACACGCACGGCCGGCCGTGCAAACACCAGCGATTCCCCGGCCCCATGCACCGTACGTACTATACTATTACCTACGCGCGATGTACACACACTGCACTGAATCCCCAGTTCCGGAGTGTGCCGATACTTCAAGTAGCGACAACCCCGCCGCAAAAATATATATCTGTATTAGTACACACACACACCAGCAGGAGTACGTACGGCAGATCTTACGTGCAGCCAACCGACTTTCTTTTTCTCAGTGCTTGCACGCGCGGTACACAATATAATACGCATTGATGTTTTTGTACGAGGCAAACGAGCCGATTGTCAAAAGTTATAAATGGCGATCGTGTATGGGCCCGGTTCCTAGTAAGAGAACAAAATCCACTTTTAATTTATTTGACTTACCAAACTAGTTGGCGACATTTAAGAACATACAGGTAGGTCATAAATAGAGGGACATTTGGGGGGAAAATGACGATGACAACGACAAAACGCAACATGAAAATAAAGATGACGATCGCACGGCACCGACACCACCCATAAAATCGCGTAAAAAAAAACATAATTTGTATCCCATTTTGTTTTTCAAAATTACAAAAAGGTGTCATTTGATCTGAGAGAAGTCTGCTTTAGGTTGAAAAGGAAATTTTTGAATGCTAAAAAAATCGGGGGAACTGGCCTGGAGAATCGCCTCAGATTGCACCACAGAGCATCTAGAATCCAAAATTTTCCCGGGGCCCTTAAGCGGGCCCCGGACCCCACGCCGTAAGGGCTTCGCGCTCCGCGCTCGCAGGAGTCCCCGCCGACCCCAGCGCCAACCTTTAATTTTCAAAGTTGGAGAACACTGTGACATGTACCAGTACATAACAACTAAATGTAGATTTATACTATGTGTAAAAAAAAAAGTGTCCTACTTTTGATCCTAAATAACTATGTTGTTTATTAATTAATGGAATTAAACCAAAATTTCCGATCATGTAAACAAGGCATGACAAGTTGTATGGAGCGAGTTTCATCAGCTTGGTGCAAGAGGGTGAGATTTAAAACGCCATACGAAAACAATACTCACTTTCCGAATCTGCCAGTTTCGACTTGGCGTCCTCCAATGTCCGTACAACGCTGGAGACGGTGGCAGAAGACGCATGCTGCGGCCGAAAGCTTCTGAAGGAATGCAGGATCACCCCTGATGTCATTGCACACTTCCTCAATCATTTGGTGGAACACACGATCGAGGAGGTGTGCAATGACATCAGGGGGGATCCTGCATCCCTTCAGAAGCTTTTGGCCGCAGCACGTACATGTACATTCCACCATCGTCTCCAGTGCTGTAACAACACTCTGAAAGTGAGTATTTTTTCGTATGGTAGCACAAAGCTGATGAAACTCCTCCATAAAATTTTGATAGTAGTACGCTCATCTACTGGTAGTAGTATTTTACAGTTGACTTAATTTTCCAGTTGGGTGCAAATTATTAACCTATTGGGCCTACATGTAGTCCCTAGTACCATCCTTAATTGCTCTGCATGTTACTCCTTGTACAGCCCAAAACAATCCCAGGACTGTGATTTTATGAATTCTTAAGGAGTAGTAGTAAAGTCTGTCCCGAGCCAATGTGGCTCATCAGGCCGGCGTTTATCTCCGGTTTCAGTAGCATGAAACGACTGAGAATATTTCTACTCCCCCTGGATGGGATGCCACGGTAGTCCATCGCAGGTTACTCCCCAGCTAATGCCGGTACCCATTTATACTCCTGGGTGGAGAGGGGCAAGTGGGGGTGAAGTGCCTTGCCCAAGGACACAATATATGACCAGCGGCTGGATTCGAACCCCGGACCCTCTGATCATGAGTCACGAACCCTAACCACTAGGCCACACACTCCCCCTAATTTCTGAAGGAGTATGTACACTGTATTACAGTGGAATATGTGCTAACCCTCCTATGATGCAAACATACATTCTGTGCCAAGTTGTCCTTTCAGTCAAAGTCAATCAAGTGACTGTTTTCAACAGTTAAGAGCTCCCAGCCTACATAAAGCAGGATTGACTGGCTGTGACTGTTTATGTCACTTGATACAGCTGTGCTTTGATTGAAGGTGATTGATAAGTCAGCTGGGCCTACCACAAGTCTGCTTTTGTCTATTGACTGAATTTGACTGGTCACAGTGCTTGTGTGAAATATGATCTGACTGTTGGTGACTAGGCCTGTGTTGAAAGGCATGGCAGGGGAAGAGTATCGATTTTTATGACTGTCTGTGACTGTCCAGATAGCAGGATGGTTGGTTTTAAAAAGATGTCGCATATTTTGTACCGTACGCCACAGTGTTGGAGTTTTATCTGATTCAGGAGTTTCCCAGTTTAAATTTTCATGGACTGAGACAAAAACTAACCGCGATTAATATTATACTGTGTTCAAAACACAACTTTGATCATGTACATCGTACATGTACTTGTTCATATAATCTTTTTTATCTTTCAAAAATGCGTTTACATATGATGATAAAACCTCATACCATTTAAGGTATTATTGGCGTATTAACTGATGTTTTTAAAAACAAAATGCAGATTACAGCTGGACCTTTGACTCTTTAGAGCCTTCAATGTTTTTTGGAGGGGTTTTTTGGTTGGTTGTTTTTCTGTGAAGCCTATCATTGAACTCACAGACCCACGTTTCAAGTGTTGACACATGAGTCATTTGACCTCATCCAGTTCGATACGACAATTGTTATTGCTACCAAAAATGCAGGCCTTAGTTGTATGTTCATTCCACTTGATCACACTACCAATGTTGCTAAATGCAGGAAGGATACATGTACATGTAGATTGGGTTTTTGGTAAATTTGTAACGAAGTAGAATTTTTGTGGTAACATTTTTATCTTAGTTGCAAAATGTAACTTGTGGTTCAATCAACGCTGAATCTGCTCTCAAATTCTGTTTACTTTCATTCGCCCACTACAGTCTCATTCTGTGCAGTTGGCAGGATTTATAGTACAATGCACATCTATTGCAAACCTTCTAATCTCACAGTACAGGTACACAGTAAATTGACATATCTTACTTGCCTACGGACAGATGTTATAAGTTAATTTTTTTAAATATTTTTTTTAATGTTTGTATTTTTGTATTTGTGTAGTTTTTACATTCATGCTTTTTATGTGTTTTAAACCAAATAACGTGTAAAAAGGCCATGGAATTTCCCGCAAACGGATAATAAAGTTTTATTATATTGTATTGTATTGGGTTGGTTCCCACTGCCTCCTTTCAAGTAACGGTCCATTTCTTTTGCAAAGTTTCTTTCAGGTTTTTATTTACATGGTTACCACACAAGTAAACGCACAAGTGCAATCGGAAGCCACACAAATTATGACCATCATTATTCGCAGAAGAAAATTCCACTTTAAATTAGGCATCCCCTAACTTGTGTTGCCAAGTACATGAAGTCAAAACTGATCTTCATTTGGCAACATTTTGAAATTTTTGAATTTTGACTTATATCCAAAATGCATCCTCACTATACTAATAAAACGCTAAGTGTGTGTACACAATGTATGTGGGTGCATTCACAAGTTGATTGTTCAAGAGTTAGCAACTCGCCAGCAAAGTGGGCGACTCACTTGCAAAGTAGGCGACTCACTTGCAAAGTGGGCGACTTGCTCGCAAAGTGGGCGACCCTTGCGTAGCAGGTGAGGCGAACAGAGATGAATCTTTTCCGATTTTAATCAGAAATCTGACTTTTTTCAAATTTATTTCTCAGAATTCTGATTTTGCTGATGATCTTTTCTCTGCAATGTATGGTGTTTTTTTTAAAATTAAATTTCAATGAATTTGAGGAAAACGGCACAGTTTGTAGTGTGAGCACAATGTTAATCTGTTCTATCAGTCGTCAACGCACAGATTGTATGGTAAATGCACATACATTGTAAGTTAGCCCAGATTGGAGTAGTTTGCGACTGGAGATCATTTTAAGCATTATCTTAAAATTTCAAAATTTTGTTTGGATCTAAACATGCTAAAATAGAACAAGAGGCGGTGTCCGGCAATCGGGCACTACCGTAAGTTTATTGTACATGTATACATCATGCTCATATTGTACATATGTACATCATGCTCGCGGCCCAGATTTCTGAAACAGATTTTTGTTCGGCCCATTTTCCTAATTTTTTTCTATAGGCCAGTTTCATCTCTGGGCGAAACCTCGTAGTAGATAAAGCTGTGAGCCGCCAATAGCGCACACGTTTTTGCTCCTTTTGCCCTGATATTGTTCTTAACAGTTTACACAGCATTTTTTTGCAGTAATTGTAGTTTTGGTCATTTACATGTTATTTCCCCAGATTGGAAGGTCGGTAAGATTGTTCCTTCAGACATCTACCTGGTGTATGCCATACAGGGCGGATACTATCTCCACCGCATCGTGGATACGCTGTTTCATGACATATGGCGGACGGATACCATTGTCATGTCCCTCCATCACGTCTTGTCCCTTACGCTCATCACCTTCTCCTATGCCTCAAGGTAAAATCAACTTATATAAATGCCTTTTCACACTTTTGTCCAGTTGGGGGGGGGGGGGGGGTTCGACCCCCAAAACCCCCCTCTGAATCCTCGCCTAAAACGGGTCCACCATAGAGCCTCGCAACCCTGGTTCTGGCCAGGGTTGGATATTAGCTGTTTAGAGTGTCGGACCTCTGTGGAAGCGGTGTTGGATTTTTGCTGACTTGTGGAAGGTGTTCCCGAAATCTCTGTGTTGGACCCGGGTCCGAAACGGAGATTGCAGTAGTGTGTCTAGACACCGTAGCTCTTGTGTCATCATAGTTATAGAGGAAAGCTACAAGGATGAGTGAATGAAACCTATATTTGCAGGGCATCTGTTAACATTTTAGAGTCAGTGGGCACTATCCAGTGGGCACTTCCACGATAGGGCCTTCCACACTTTCCGTGTTGGACCCAGGTCCAACAGGGGATTTCAGGAACACCTCTCCAACACGACTTCTACATGGGTCCAGCGTTCTACACGGATTAAGTCCAACCCTTTGGAAAAATCCAAAATCTACAGTGGACCCATATACATCCGGTGTGATGCCTACCCATGTTCGGACAAGACCCAGTTCCTCTTACGGTTCACCAGTAAGTGTTGATTTCAACATGGGTAGTATAGATGATGGTGGGTAGTATAGACGATAGTGTGAAAAAGTCATGTTCAGGGCCTAATTTCATGGCACTGCTTACGGTTTAATAACGAAAAATCCCTGATTCCTGTAGCAGAAAATAGTGCGCTTACGGTTACGTATTTCACGGGTTAGCGAGAAATGTTAGTACCATATATGTGTGTGCATACATCCTGTAACTAAGGGTTCTGTGCTTACAGGGTTAGCACAGATATTTTGTTTAGCACAGAAAGCTGATTGGAAGTGTGGAATACTGTCATTAGCATGAAGCTAGAATTTAGAGCTCCAGTTATCACAGTTATCGCACTGGTACAAACCCATCAAGACAACTTGTTCAAATCACTGTTTGAAGACTAGAGTCCTCGACATGTCAACGCATAACAGTTATGTTATTTTCCTTCCCCCTTTTTATAGATATCACAACATTGGAATCCTGGTTTCTTTCTTTCACGACTTTGACGACATTTGGCTGGAGTTCTCCAAAGTGTGCGTCTACCTGAAGTTCCGCAACGGCAAGAAGCATCAAAACTGGCAGACGTTTGCCAACATCTGCTTCACCATCCTGACTGTTTCCTGGTAAAGCAAATGAAAGATGGTGTTCTTGTAATTCTTTGTTTTGAGGGTAGCCAAAGCTGCAGTGACAAACATTAGCTGCTTGAATGGATTGTTACGTAACAGCAAGGTTACGGACCCTGTGCAAGTACCCCCTCAACGGTTACAGAGGGAGAGTCGGAAGGAGACCGATGGGAGGGACATTCAGGTGCATTGCTGACAAGGCCAGCAAGGGCGGATCCAGAACACAGTTTTTTTGGGGGGGGGGCAAAAAAAATTTGGTTCCCAAAAAAGTGTGTCCAAATAATTACGGCGTGGGGTTCGGGGAACGCTAAAGGGTCCGAAACTTTTTTGGATTCTAGATGCTCTGTGGTGCAATCTGAGGCAATTTCTGACCACTTTAACCAAATTTTGTTGAGGAAAAGAGGGTGGTGTATGCACCGCCTGCCTTTATTGCGGCGTCGCTTAAAAAAAAAAAAAAATATGGGTTCGTTTGGGGGGGGGCGCCATGGCCCCCGTTATGGCCCCCGTTGCGCCCCCGTTGCCAATTTCATGGTGTGCTGAAAGGTGTGCGTTCTTTCAGCAACACGAAAACAATTCACACACATCCTTACGTGATTTGCTTTTGTTTTGCTGAAAGAACACTGAACTTTTTGTGATCCGTGGACAGAACCTTAAAACGGCGGTTGTGTTTGAAACTCCGTAACTTGAAAAGTACATACCGGGTAAGTGATTTGAATGATTTTTGTACTAAAATAAAGCTTATGAATTGGGCTTTCATATCCTAGATTTTGAAAGTGCTACATGCAGAACTTCACTAAAACAATGGTCCCAACATTTGGGTATCGTTTTTTTGACTCACCCTGTAGTTTAGACATCTTAACCACTCAACCATTGAGCATACTGCAATTGGCAGGATTGGCTTAAACAAGAAATAACACTATGCGCTCTATGGCACTTTGTTCCACTTTCGAGAGCCCAGTGAACAAGATATGTGCATTCTGGTTTGCCCGAAGTTGAACGCGAAGTACGCACGACTAATGTTATTTTGAACGTGCACAACGCCTCAGCATCTTTGCGTGAGTGTCAGTCATCATCAGCTCTTCGTTGAAATGTCCCTCCCAGTGGTCCCCCCAACTCTCCCTTTCTAACCGTTGAGGGGGTACTTGTGCACGGAGCCCGTAACACTTCATAGTCGCAACTCTTCTTGGTTTTCTTTTCATTGAGAATACTTTGTCCTGCACCCTAGGTGTGTGATGCGTCTGTACTGGTACCCACTCAAAGTGCTGAGGAACTGCACCCCTTCCGTGGCCAGGCAGAACGCCCTTGACATTGTCCCGTTTGGGATCCTCTTCAACGTCATGCTGTGGATACTACTAGCCATGGATATATACTGGTTTATGGTACGTTCTAAAAGGCCACATGTGAATGACATGGCTACGGCCAGCTGTAACACAAAGTGTAGATGGGAAGTGGATTTAGCCGTAGCCAAGTTATTGAGAAATGGCGTAATCCGCATCCAGACCCAGTTTAATTGTCGTCTGAGTATTATATAAATACAGCATGGTTTGACGGGAAGAAGTGGGAATTACTGGTCCCGAGGTGTAGGTCAGCTTGACTACCCGGATAGAGGTAGTCAAGCTGACCTATACCGAGGGACCAGTATTTCCAACTATTTTCCAGAAGTAAACCGTGCTGTATTTGTTTTAGGCCAAAAAAAAAAAATATTCGGTCTCTGGTCAGACCAAAGTTCCGGAATTGACGCGGCCACGCGGCTTTTTTTTTTTTTTTTTTTTTTTTCTTCAAGCTTGGATTGTACAGACAAGGTGGGTACCATTTTGCTTTTTGGGTGTCCTCATGTACATTGGTGTCCTCCATAATTTGCCTTGGTGCTTTCGATCATTTGCCTTGGTGCAATTTCCCATTCCTTGGTGCTCTTTGTTAAAAAAAAATTTGAGGAGGTGCGGAAATAGAGGGCGCTGTTGGAGCTACCTCGGAACATTTTGGGAAAAAAAAGATCGACGTGCATGATTAAAATCGACGCGCGCGCTGACCAGAGACCGACTTATTTTTTTTTTTGGCCTTACTATAAATATTTAGTAGCCTCACTGCCTTTTTAGTAGCCTCAATGCCTTGTCAATAACGGCCTTCGTAGATTTTACATCTTTATTCAGACGCAGTCTTTTTTGCATAATTCAGTAATCCAGAATGGCAGCCTCCGATGAAAGCCATCTTGTCAGGGGCTGATCCTTCCTTGAAACTAAGTAGACAAATGCCATAAATATGTTCAGAAATACCGAGACAATGTGTGTAAAGTTGTAAATGTAATTATTAATTAGCCTGGAATATTGCAGTTGGAATTTCAAAGTAACCATACAGTCCACCGCAAGCTTGTTCTCCTTTAAAACTGCATCACAAGTCTGCCATTTTGTTTTACGTTTTTATAAGCTTTTCGACAGGAGATCCGACAACTCTTTTTTGAAAATCAAGACAACTATTTACTGTACCCTGAATAAATACATATAACAGTCACCGTGGTGTGCTAAAAATACACCTATGATGCGTCCCACTTACGAAGCATTCTGTGAAATGAATCACAGGATGCGTGGCAGGGATACGACGTGTCGCAGTGCTGCAATGCATCGTAAGTTATGATGAGTTTCATGAAATCGGGTGCTTGCCTTCCAGTATGGAGCATCCAACTCTACATCCAGGGGTATACATGTACATTCTGCAGGTTGTGAGTTCGAGTCCAGCCAATGGTTCTTGAGTCTGGAGTGTCGAATGGCACCGCATCGCAACCGATGGAAACTAATGTGCAAATGAATAGATGTTTTCATATAACCGACAAACAGATCCTTGTCATTTGATTGGTGGAACTCACATCACATGACATGCGTTATTGCTCCCATTCACGCCGCGGCTCAAAAAGAACTATCCGCCCATGGGGAATGGGAAATACCATTGAACAGTTAGGATCATTCTTGTTCCATGACGCGGTATTTGTGTGCAAATGCATGCTGGTGTGCGCGTTCAGCGTAGCGCGTTTTGTTCCAAAGGGCCAAAGAGCTCGGTAAAATCTGGACTTTTCCAGTTCACTCGGCTTCGCCTCGTGAAATGGAAAAATCCAGATTTTACCTTTCGATAATATTCCTCCCATTCCATGCTGAGCCACTCAATATTTGTATATCGTCGGCCGATGTAATCCTGGCCACACATATAAATTGCTATATTAGGCCCAAAAAAAAAAGTCTCTGGTTTCTGGTATGCGCGCGCGTCGCCGTAGCCATGCGCGTCGGCAAAATGAAAAGTTTTTTTTTCAATGAAAGATGATGTCTCAAAACCGCCAAACTCACTGGTTTGACTGGAATCCTACTGCTGCACAATTTTAACGTTTTCTTAGATTGGGTTATGGTTGAGAATAAACTTTATGTGGCCTCTCTGGACTCCCATATATTTGCCCTAAGTTTAGTCGGGCATGGTGCCCGACTAAACTCATCAGCCGACATTTGAAGCAAAAAAATCAGGTAAAAAAAAAAAAAAAGCCGCGTCGCCGCACCACTTTTTGGGCAAGCTCCATACCAGAAACCGGAGACTTTTTTTTTTTGGCCTTAGCACCATGTCGATATATGATTATTACTCTCACAGTGTTGCCATCTCCTTATTCCTCCCTCTCCTTCTCCAGCACATTGTGGTTGTCCTGAAGAAAGTGGCCATGGGTCAGATGAAGGAACTGGACGATATACGAGACTTCGACGTCAACAAGGAAATTGAGGAACAACCCCAGAAGACAACAAAGAAAGAATGAGAGGAAGAACTCATCCGAGGCATCGGTAATATTAATCATCTGTGCAAAATGTTCAGATTTGTTGTTTTTTATGAGAGTTTTGTTGATTTCATGCTCTCTAAGCTTACTGCCCTGACCACATGATCCTGCTTGATACAGGTGATTTGTCTGTTAAGGTAATTCACAACTTTTTTATTTAAAGAACTGAATTCTCCCTGTATACCTATCACTTTATTACATCAAATGAAGCTTAAATGGAAATTTGTAATATACTAAAATAAATAGTTGCTGTAAAGGAGGGTTAGCGTAATTATCAGGTTTGTCATGGGGAAGCATATTTTCATTCGTGTTAAGAATTCAAATTTAAAGTTGTGTTCCCAAAGAAACATTTAACTTAAAAGTTAGATCGAGCATGAAAGTTCGTTTCATGATAGTTTGTTTCCAGTTTCCAGTTGGATCTTTATTGCATTCGCTGAATAATGCTCATCTTTTTGTGAATATCGATAATGAAAAAAACACTGTTTCAGCGCTGCTTAGCGCATGCGCTTCTGCTTACAGAGCCTCTGTGTATTTCATGGAGACCGTTAAGCAGTAAGCACGGCAAAAGGCATGCTTACCTCAGCCTCGGAGGAAGTACTTGCTTAAATTGAAATCTCCATGCGCGTGCAACCATTAGCACATCCACGCTGTGAAATAGTGCATAAGGTTTTCATAAATTTCTACTATAGTCAGCAAAACTTTTCTGCTTTACCGTTAAGCAGCGCTGTGAGAATTGGGCTCAGATATTTATAGTTCTTTGCTTAACTCTGATTCCACTTTTTTTTGGCCATTTTAGCAAGACGGTTTAAACAACGGGGGTAAGATTAGCCCTTAATTAGATTAGCCCTTTGTAAATTTTACAATATTGGCCTTATTCATATTAAGATTTTTCATTATTGTTTTTTGTCACCACAATGTTGGCAGATAATGTGAGAATGGGAATTAATATTGTACACATGTATATCTTGACTTAATTAAGGAGTATATAAACGTGACATACGCGGGGTGATTGACAAGTCCGTGGCCTAAGGTAGAAGGAGATGAGCTATACAGTTTGGACTGATATTGTGTGCAGTCAAGGTTTAATTATCTGTCAAATCGAAAAACAAGAAAACATAATAACTTCAAATGTCTATGTAATCATTCAGCAAGTGGAACTGCACACAATATCAGTCCAGACTGTACAGCTCATCTCCTTACACCTTAGGCCACGAACTTATCAATCACCCCACGTATTTTGTAAGCGCTTCATTTTAATTATGTTAAAGTATGAAAGCGTTAAAAAAAAAAAAAAAACAGTAGTTCTGAATGTGCATTGAATTTTTTGTTTTGAGGAACACATTTTCTTAGAAGATATTGGTGGAATACACTGGCCAAGCCAGTTTTGTAGTTGAACATTTATGGAGTGTACGTGTATACCCGACGTATTAATAAGGCAAAAATTATTACGAACTATATTGTACCGTATTTGTTGTTTTTCTTGTTTTTTATTTCAATGTTGGTTTGATGGTTTTTTTAAGTAGAGATATTGGTTTGAGTGTCTGATTTTCAGGATCATATTGTGCTCCCAAAAAGATCAAGGCCTGCAACTTAAGTCAAACCTCGCAATTGTGTGAATCATTTACAAAACAAATGTATATTTATTTCTGTGGATTACTGTAATAAAACAGAACTACGTGTAAATGCTCTAAGAATGATTCCCTTACTTATTGTATGTTTATATTGGACTGTGCATTTCACCCATTTACTCGACAATCAGCTGACTGACAAATTGGTAAAACAAAATTTTTTTTAAGGTGTTTGACTTGTGATGAGTGACTAACAGGTTGCTTTTTGATCTCGTCAAACACAAGACACAATACTGAATATTGATGAGACACCTGCATGTATGAATAACAATGAGCTCGCTGGAGGCAGAGATTTCCCATGGATCTTACAGAATCGTGGGAAAACTCTTGCAATGATGGTGTTGAGGCTATGAATAATCATGAGGTGTTTAAGTGAACCAATGGGCTTCTTTCTTTTGATGAGAATTTTTTTCTGAAGTGGGATGATCAATTTATGAATTTAGGAACACGCACAAAGTGGAATTTTTTCTTTCTCCGTTTGTTGGCCTTATTGCAGCTGCACACACTCATTGTTCTGTTCTTTTGTTTCTTGTGCAAAAATTAATTGGCAATTTGTAAATTTGTTTGCTGAATTTTAATTTCATAATTTGCTGAAAAGAGGCTTCTTGTGCGATTCAATTTAGGATGGGGCTTTCTGTAGCAGTGCCCATACAATATACATGCCAATGGTTCAATGTAATGTATTCAATTGTAACTAATTTCTGAAGGTGTTTATTTGGTTGTTCATCTTGTTTGGCACATTTGTTGCCTACTGGTAAACCTTAGATATATTTCTGCACTTTTGGTATGAAAGGCAAAAGATAAATGTTACGCTATGAACATTCCAACATTGAATGGGTTCATTTTCTAAGCTAGAATGTAAACAAGGTTCGCCATGTCATTATTTCATAATTGCTTCTTATGCAACGCCTGAATAAATCCCCATCTTCTGATTGGTGCGCCGTTGATCACATGTCATTGAATTATTCATCCCAACCCACGGCCCGCCCGCACCGCAAAAGTAAAACTTCTGTTCCACGTAAATAGAATTTCCATTGCATGGTCACACTATTGGAGGCTCTGACCAATCAGATGACAAAGGATTTATTCAGGTGTTGTATAAAACAAATAATGAACGTTTCATTGGTGCAATGGTCAGAATAATTTCATTTGGTGACAGATGGAATGTTCCATTCCACTCGGCTTCACCTCCAGGAATAGAACATTCCGTCTGTCACCTCATGGTATTCTTACCATTGCACTCATAAACATTCATTATTTGTAAACCATGGTTAACATTTTGCCCTTCTATTTATTACAGATGTAAATTAAAAATAAATGCAAATTACTGTAAATCTGTCAATTTACTTTAATTACAGTGGCCAGTTTGTTCATACAATGAGGCAAAAAGGTGCCTTGGTTGCACTATGACAAGTAGTTTGAACATTGCAAATACGAACTCACTGAACCATTGAGCATATTGTAAATGGGACATATTTTAAGAGACATATTCATAAATACCTAAGACAGTTAACCCATTCCTATTGGTCGAGAGCCCGTCACGTGGCCGGTCTTAAACGGATGATAAAGACATGGCTAGCTGGTCTTAAACACTTTTCCAGTGTCATATGAAATTTGGACTCCTAAAAATCCAGTGCCTCATACCGTTGTATTGGTTGAACGTTCACTATCCTCACGTAGGCATGCGCAATACTACCAGCGAGTCAGTATTTTATAGTCCTAAATTCACAACGCAACGCCCCAGGTGCATTCTGCCCAACATCGCGCAGTACGCGCGCGCCAATCTCCATAAAAGGAGTTGTTTACATCTTATTCGCGAGGTGGACATTCCATTATTTAGCTAGAGGGGTGTTTCATAAAACATGAAGTGAACTTTTATAATATGGAATTTTGCGTCGGTGTGATATAAATCAAATTAGGTTTTGCCCTTCACCGACGTTTAAACACTGTATACTCAGTGTGTTAAGCAGGAGGTCGTGGGTTCGAGTCCCACCCGAGTGATTTTTTCCAACTTTCACTCGGGAGGTAACACATGAAGTGAACTTGTTGAACAAAATCGGGTTTTTTTACCGAAAAGTTTTGATTTTTTTGGACCGAAAAAGGTATTTATGAATGAGACTAAATATGTGCTTTGTCGATATTAATCACTCCGTTTAAGACCGCTTGGAGTCTGGGTGCTGATAATTACCCTCGCATTCGGCCTTCGGCTCGGTTAAATAGAGTGATTAAAACCTCCAAAGCACACATTTATTCCCTTATTAAAGCTTTGTCAGTGTGACACTTTCAATTTTGAAACGCTTTAAATGAAGTTAGGCATGTTCATTATGATTTTTTTCGTGAGACAGAACTCCATTCAAAGGGATGCAAAGAGCTTATTGAACAGGAATGTCACAGTGTCTTTAATAAAGAAAAATGTCATGCCAAATTAACAACTCTCTTTGAGAGGAGAAACATGTGTGCCTTATTTTGTCTGAAAATGTCTCTTGAGTTTTTTTGGCCTTGAACATTTGTTTGGAGTCAAATTTGTTGTAATTTTTATTTTCACATAACGCATGCTGGCACTACAGCATGTGTTGTGATATCCAATGTAAGAGCTACATGTGAATACTTTTGGTCTACCTGTGGTAACACGCCAGTGTAGACACTCAGAATCCCTAACCCCCTAGTACTAGTTCCCCAGGACTACCCTGCTAAACCCAACAGAGTACGGCCGACGGTTACTAATGTGAGTTTCCTGCTCACACAGCCCCACACAATCCCACTTGCCAAGTTGTTGTGTACCTTAGTGTAAACTGACGGGCATGCTCAATCCAACTGAATCCAACTGTGCCTTATTGTTCTCTTTACTGCTGGATCCAACAGAATCCAACTTGGCGTTATTTACCAGTACCCAACAGAATCCGACTCTAAATGTTATTTAGTCGGGTTTTTTTCCAAACTTGAACACACAAAAAGTTTTTTCCTAACTTTGAAAAAAAAAAAAAATGTCCTAACTTTGAAAACAAAAGTGTTGTCCTAACTTGAAGAAAAATATGGTGGCATTCATAAATTACGTCATCAAACCTAGTTTGTGAATGACGTCATTGACATAACGTTGAAGGGCATGTTGTTGTTAAATTTTGTTGGCAAGTTCACCCTAATAAATAAGTGAGCTTTGTACACTCAGTGCCTCGTGATGCGCTGTTTTGAAACAGAGGGCGCTGTTTTCACAAAATGTGACAATGACATCATCAAATCCTATCCAGCTGCACTTGTCCTGCGAAAGTGAAATAACACGGTTCGAAAATGGCTACGATGCTCGCCGTTCCTCTGAAAAATAGCGCCGAGCTAGACTTTGTTCGGCCCCTGAAGAACTTTATCAAGAACACCTTCGGCGAAGAAGATGGGGCTGATGACTACTCCAGTCAGCTCGACGAGCTGCACCGACTCAGGAACAATGCGGTGTGTCGAAAACTCGATAAACACAGCACCTCCCTGGAAATCCTCGCAAGGTGTGTATATTAATACCAGCACTTTGCCCAGTTTCCGGACAATACAGGGCTTACTCGTTTTTACGTTTGAAGAATGAAGATTGCAAAAATAACACTTTGACTGGATAATATGATGTTTTAGAGTATTGCTGAATTTATCCAACATGTGTTCACGACGTTTTTTTCAGCGGAAACATTTAAAAAAAATATTAACCTAAAACTAAAAATAAAGTTTAGAATCCCTCCCATCTCGGCCCCATTCCCAAAAATTAAGCATTTCCTGATTACTAGAACATATTTAGCGAACGTGTACATGTAGTTACAACTTACAGGCCTCTCTTTAGTTTCTTCAAATTAGAGTCGAGGGTGTTAAAATATTAATATTATTTTAGACTTCTCTCAATTACACCTTTTTTTGTCATTTTCAAACATTCTTGGGTTAGAATTTAATTACGATTTTCGTACGCAGTTTACAGTTGGTGCTGTGCCATTCAGCGCGCCTTGCGCTTTCAGGTGGTACATCGCGGTGATCGCCATCTTTGTTTTCGTGTTGCGTTTTGTCGTTGTCATCGTCATTTTACCCCCAAAGTTTCCTCAAAAAATCAAAACCCTGCCCTTTATCTATGACCTCCAAATAGTTTGGTAATTAGAATAAATTGAAAGTGGATTTTGTTCTGTCATATACTAGGAACCGGGCTAGTAACTACAGGATCGCCACAAATTGAGCCTTTGTACCATTTGGTTTGTTAAATATAATGCAATTCAGGAAATCCTGACCAAAGTATCCTGGTGCTGTGACTGCTGTCCATATTTTGGCTAAATTTCCTGTTTCTTCGTAGTTTACTTTAGTAGACCTAAGGATTTCCTTGATGGAAAGATTTTAAATGTTCAGCAATAGAAGAATCTGGGGAAAACAACTCTCCTTGATCACATTCAAAACATGGAACAAAAAAAGAAGTCTTGAAAACAGGGACTGCCAAGACCAATTTTGCATAAGAATGGATGATATATTACATTAGGGACTGCACATGATATTTTTTTAAGTGTTGAAAGTAATATTTTGTGTCAATTGAGAGAAGACGTAAATCTTAGCTCATATATAGGCCTACCCATTTGAATTTTCAAAATCGGATAAGGGATTACTGAGATATGACCTTTGCAAAATTTTTGATGTAATTTTTGGCTCACTTCTCTATGGGGAAACTTGGCATGTCTTTGCCTTGTTTACAGACCAGGCGAACTAAACAGAACAGCCTCAGCAATCCTATTGGATGTCATATACACCAATCAGGCAAAGGAGGAAACATCACGTGATACGTTCGGTGCCATACACCAATCACCAAACTGAGTCAACATCACGTGATCCAATTCGGCTTTGCCATCTACCTTACCGTACTCATTTGCAAGTCAAAATCGGCCTGATTTATCAGAAACAAAAAAATGGTATTCCAATGGAAGCAACGTGTATGTTTTTGAAAAATGAAAGAAATAGTTTGGCATAAACTTGTTTAAATGATATAGTAAACACGTCAACGTGACAGTCATTCCGTGATCGATCGAGCACATGGCACCGCGCATGAAGCCTATACATGTAGACTTGCTGACAAGTCACTAGACGGTCGTGCCTTTTGTCTGTTAGCGACCCCAGTATATGTAATTGTTCTTTCCATTTTTGAGAAAATCACTGAAAAGCAAGAGTCCTTTACACGTGAAAAGTCAGCCTGAAGTTGAGTTCCATTTTGAGATGGAGTATTTCAGCTAAAGAAAATGCAATTTTATTTCCTCCTATTTTTGGACATGGTTGAGAGACGTACATGTACATGTATGAAAATTATGTATGTGATGCATTCTGGTAAACTGAGACGAAACTGGGCACATGCCGTAGTGGAGAAATTTTTTTTAAAACAAATGGGGGAGAATTTTTGTCGAATTTCGGATATAATTTGTAATCTTTGAAGTGTCTGCTACACATTAAAAAAAAAAAAATTAGCACAGAAAAGTGGAATACAAGTGATTTTTATGAAAAACAGTTGCCATCTACCGGTATCATTCTCACAATACAAAACTCAAAAATTTATAGGTCGATGAGTGTCGGTTTGTTTACTGTCCCTACTTATATTTATGTGCTTTTCAAATAGATTTTGCTGTGATGTCCATGCACAGAACATGTACCCACAACAGATTGGTCACCACTTTCTTCCTTTTTTTGGTCAAAATTTCCCCCATAATTAAAAAAAAAAATTACCGTCAGTTGAGTACTTGGGGTCAATTATACATGCATTTATTTCAATTTAAGAGAAAACAGACCCCACTTTGGTTATCTTGTACAAAGTCTATTTGGCATGAAAGAAAAGTCCAACAAAATTGGAAATGATTCTCGGTCCCAAATTCTTATTTTTTTTTCAACATACCTGTATTCATAATAGCTGACCATAATTTGAGGTAATGGTGAAAAATATAAAGTTGTGTCGGAGTAGAGCATTCAACCAATTTAATTTTGAAGCAGAATTGTTTTTGGCACATTGTTATAGTTCTCTATAAATCTAAAAAATAATTGAATACCTGTAACTGTTTATTTTCTTCAGATACTACGACCAGCTGCAAGCAATAGAGGACAAGCTGCCAATCTCAGAGGGACATGTAAGAAATATTTAGATGATTTTGCCAAGCTATTACAAAATTGTCAAAAATACAATCCCTGACTAGATCTGAGACCAATTCCTAAGGGAAGAATGCAGAATTAAAGGCATTTTTATCCTTTGGTTTTCATGCGTAATAACACCATTCAAAGCCCAAAGAAGAATGTTCAAAACCAAAACCTGTTGAAGTTTCCCCTCAGTGGATATTACGCCTTTTGAGAAACAACGAAAAACCATGCACTAGCTTTTGATCACGAAACACAATTTTGTCAATAGAGCTCTTTATTTCCCAAAAAATGACTGATCGCTGGAAGTCACCTACATTTCTTGATTTCTTCTACAGACAGAATAATTTCACATGGTGTTTAGTATCAGTACAATCTTTAATCTGAGTAAAGCTTTTTGATATTAATTCAATAGGTTACTTTTGGCATGAACGCAAATGGTCCAATATGACTTTAACATTAACCATCCCAAATCCTCGAAAATCCTCTTTGCAAAATGGAGGATTTTGCAGAATTGAGGCTACATGGCAAAAGTGTGTTGCTCATTTCAGAAGATGCGCTGTGTCTGTCTTGGGCCGAACTTTGTGTTGTTTATGCTCAGCCGTGCATCAATTTAGGCCTATATTATACTTGAATCCTCTGCACTGCTGCAGGATGTCACTGTCTCTGTCACAACATATTGACAATTATTGCCGGAGGATTTTGCAGGATTGAGGCAGTGGTCACCCGTCAAGGACCACATTCAAGAAATAACGGAGGATTTTGCAGGATTGAGGCTGTACATGTTATTTTTACATGGAGGCAGTTATAGGATTTTGCAGGATTGAGGTTACATCCTAGCAAACAGGCCTAGAGAGTTAGGGTTAAACAAGCGGTAAATCAATGTTTAACCCTAAACCCCAGGCTATTTTTTGTTAGGAACCATCCTCCATCCTCCAAAATCCTTCAATTTTTTTCAATTACATGTATGTTCAAATGGAGGATACCCACTGCCTCAATCCTTCAAATCGTCAGACAGTCCTGCCTCTCAAAATGCATTCATCTCAATCCTCCAAAAACATCCTCTTTAAACACAATTCATCCTCAATCCTCCAAAATCCTTATGTGCTTCAACACCATTCATCCTCAATCCTTCTCAATCCTTCAAAATCCTCATACTTCTCAAACACAATTCTTCCTCAATCCTCCAAAAATCCTCCAAAACCGCCCGAAGAATTTTGGAGGATTTATTCCCTTTTTTTCCCACTTTTTTCTCAGCCTTCCCGTAATTTTTACCAATTGCAAGCCATTTACAGTCGCCAACTTCTATGGCAATGCGGAACAGTTGTTTATTTCATCATACTTTTGTCTGTTTATAGGTTTCCATGACGTTCACGTGGCAGGATGCCTTTGACAAAGGCTCATTCTTTGGCGGAGGTCGAAAGCAAAGTAAGTGTTCAAACACAAGGTGTCTTTGAGTGGCAGATACATTGTATTGACATAAACATAAACGCAGCGACGTCTGTTAAATTTCCTGGAAAGCTGTTTCCTGAATTGAAATATAAACACTTTTTTTCACTTAACATTTGTTACGGAGGCTACAAAATAACCGGGGGAATATGAAAAGTTTAAAGGTGCGTGACCCATTTGGGACAAACTTTCTCCAAATTTCCCCTGAAAATTATAGGATAACTATCGGTAAATGTTTAAAGGTAGAGCCTTTCACTTTCTCTGATTATTAACACTTAAGGTAAGTAGCTGTCATTTGTGAATATTAAGTGAAGAAACAAACAAACAAACCCATAAGCAACATACATATTTATAGAAGAACTGATAACATTTCAAGGGCTTCAAATTTAGCCAACTGTTTTCCTAATTCTTCTTCTTCTTCCAGTAAGTACATCCCTCCATAGTGGAGTATTGTCGTACTTGGGTGCAAAAGTGCTCTGTCACGGGAACAAATATTAACGAAGAGTGCAGTAAACTAATTAAATTAAACTAGTAAATTAACTGTAACTATTCATGTATTGTTTGTTTTTAGTTATACTTATTTTATTTTATTGTCAGGTGGCTCCAATGGCAGCTATGAGAAAGTCTGTGTGCTGTTCAACATTGCGGCAATGAACACCCAGATAGCAGCCCTCCAGAGCTCTGAAGATGACGAATCTCTAAAGACCTCAGCAAAACAGTTCCAGGTAGGACAAAGTTTTTCCATTCATTCATTTGTTGGTTTACTTCTGTCGAACAGGCAATGTGTCATAACTGTAGAACAATGATGATAAGAACCACGAATCAAAGAAAATGTTTAGCCAAAGAGGAAGACAAGACGAGCCTACAGAGATGAAATTTTTAAATTAATTCTAAAGTTCCGATTATCTGATGATCTTTTCCCTTTTTCTTTTAAAAATAAAATTTCAACGAATTTGATGAAAATGGCGCAGTGAAATCTGTTTTGCGAGTGCAATTTTAATCTGTTCCACCAGTCGTCAGCGTACAGATTGTATGGTAGACACACATAAGTAAGCCCGGATTGGAGTAGTTATGGCTGGAAATAAGTTTAAGCTTTAACCTGTGTCTGAAACTACGTACGCGTAGAGAGCTTCATGTTGCAGTGAAGTCCAAAGGGTTTTGTTATTTTCGGAGGTTTCACATTTAGTTGTACAAAATGCAATGCTTTAAAAATCACGATAATGATATTGGGGATGGTGAATAGATCATTGACGGTTGTTGGAACAAAAAGACGATATAGTGCCGATTTTTTTCCCACATATGTTAATGAAGCTGTTTGAATTTGATTGAATGGTACACTTGCATGACCTCAATTTTTAAAACAGCATTTTGTCGTTTTGCCAACAAACCAAGTCACTGTTAAACATTAAGTCTTAATCCCAAGTCCGAGTCCAAATTGTCGATTCTGAGTACAAGTCATTGCTTATAGTGACTCGAGTCTGAGTCGTCAAAAATGTGACTCGAGTTGAATCCAAGTCACATGTCACACATCTCTGAAACACTGTGTTACTGATTGGAAGGTTTCTCGTGTAGGGTAGGGGGATTTTTCTACATTTTATTTTCTGTCAACAACTTTTCTCACAAAAACCTCTCCCCCCCCCCCTGATTTTTATTATATTTCCACAGCAAGCGGCTGGTATTTTTAACCATCTCAAAGAGACGGTAGTGTCAGCCGTCCAGAACATTCGCACCTTTGACATCCACCCCGACTGTCTGGCTGCCCTAGGAGCCCTCATGCTAGCCCAGGGCCAAGAGAGTATCCTCAAGAAAGCTCAACAAGGTACGCTCTACTTAACCATTTTAAATTTACTTGAACAAACTCTAGACACATGTAAATATTTTCAAGGCAAAACCCAAAGGAATTGGGTGGGAACTGAAAACCCAATCCATGTAAAGGTTTGAAGTTTCCCGTTTTCTAAAATCAAAATTCCATTTTCTTAAATTTGAAAATTCCGTTTTCTTCAGGGTTCTTAAAAAAAGAAAACACCACAATCACACACAACACTTGAAATTTTGCTCTAGATGTCAATGCATGCACGCACGTGGTAGCCTGCCCGCTGCAGGGCATACGGAAAATCATGCATACCTACATACATACATATCCATGGCATACAATGGAATGTTGTTCTGTGATGCATAATTCATGACAGACGGCTTGCCTGTGCACCAATCCGGGACCACTGTGCGCGCGGTGAGAGCCAAGTAGGTCGTGTAGCAGTTGTGATATAATGCAGGCGATGTGGTATTCTTGGTTTCAAGATGTTCTTTGCGGTGGTCAGCTGACCACTGTTGGAATTTAATGACAGCACACCAGGTGCCATGATTTCACAGGATGCTTGAGACTATTATTCACTTACAGTCAAGTAAGGTATTTCATAATAATTTGGTAGTTTTGTTTTTTGATGTTTGCAAATGTTGTATATTACCTTTAAGATAGTTACCAAAAGGCGAACACATTTTATACCCTCCTACATGAGTTTGTTTATTTCCTTTTGATAATTACCAACCGCAGACAAGATGAAGGATGCCATCATTGCCAAGATCGCGATGGCAGCAGCCGACGAGTACGCGGACGCCCTGAAGCTGTGCCAGGTGGCTCATGTCAAGGAGGTCCTGCCCAAGGATTGGATCCCCGTTGTCGCTGGCAAGCACGCCTACATGCACGGCCTGGCCGAGCTCCATCAGTCCAAAGTCTGCCAGGCCAACAAGTCCTACGGAGAGGAGATCGGAAGGCTTAATGTGAGTCTAACGTAATATGGTAAAATGTATTTTTTTGCAGATTTTTTTGGGCCAAAGTTATGGATTTCAGGTAGTCATTTTAGCATCTTGTTTTTCACATGCAAAATGCAAGTGTTAGGCCCAAAAAAAAAATATTCGGTCTCTGGTCAGACCACGCGGCTTTTTTTTTTTTCTTCAAGCTCGGATTGTACAGACAAGGTGGGTACTATTTTGCTTTTTTGGTGTCCTCATGTACATTGGTGTCTTCCATAATTTGCCTTGGTGCTTTCGATCATTTGCCTCGGTGCAATTTCCCATTCCTTGGTGCTCTTTGGTAAAAAAAATTTGAGGAGGTGCGGAAATAGAGGGCGCTGTTGGAGCTACTGCGGAACATTTTGGGGAAAAAAAAGATCGACGCGCATGATTAAAATCGCCGCGCGCGCTGACCAGAGACCGACTTATTATTTTTTTTGGCCTTAGTGTGAGATTTTTTTTTAAGGCAGAGAGAAAGGTTCATACTCTGCGAAAAGAGTTTTTTGTTTTATTAATTTCTCATATGTTTTAACTTGTACCAAAGATGGGTGGACAAAGTGTAAAGTGAGTAACCGTAACGTGAGCTACCCAAATATATCCCTCTAGAAATTTTATGATTGACTATTTTTGAATAATTGAAATGGTAGTATATGACTGACACCCTAATGATGAAAGGCACTACAAAGATTTTCCCATCAGAGCACAGCACAAGGAAACTTTCTAATGCAGGGTTTTTAAATTGTTGCCATGTCTTTTACTTGTAACTGAAGACACTGTATACTCAGTGTGTGACCCAAGCATTAGCACGTCTGCGCTGTATCGTTGGCTTAACGTCAGCACAAATTTTGTTCTACCATAGTCAACACAGCTCCCCAGCTAGCAGTTTAGCATTCCCAATAAAGTGGCTGTACGAAACTGGCCGCAATAATGAAATTAGATACAAATTTGTACAATACAGATTGGCGTGAAAACAGTTCAACTGCCATCAACAATGAGAAACAATGCATCATCAATGCTCTCCCTGTCCCCCCCCCCCAAAAAAAGAAGAAAAATTTGAATTTTAAAATTTCCTGGTCATTTTCCCAGCATGCCCTTGAGCTCCTGCAAGCAGCCACGAGCCGCGGCGGTCAGCACGTCAACTTCAGTCCCGTGAAGCAGAAGATCGAGCGCGCCCTCGCAAATGCTAAGAAGGACAACGATTTCATCTACCATGACATCATCCCGGAGATCGCTAATCTCAAGCTCATCGGAACGGCCGCCATCGCCAAGCCCCTGGACATCCCCAAGCCCATGTGCCCTAAATTTGCAGGTCAGTTGACAGCTCAGGAATTTTGTCTGTTTAGCTTCGAGTAGGGGTACGGTACAATAAGTACCACTTTTTTTCATGAGTAAATTCCAGAATTAGAGATTTATTTGACATTTCATGTACTCCCATTGCTTTGGATGACTGAGAATATACATGCCCCTTTAAAGGTATAGTCCATCATTTGTAATCTGTGCATTTTGTTCTTTTGAAGCAACAAAAGTGTTCCAAATCTAAAGAAGGGCGCTGAACAACTAACCTGATGAAGTTTCAGCTCAGCTACAGCTGTATATTTCGAAAAAAAACAACATTCTAGGATCTCGATTTCAAATCAAAAGTTGCTGAATCATGTTTTGAATTGGGCCTGCATTCAGCATCCAAGACACGTTCTCACTGAGCCGATTGCAGCTACGGGATGTCGCGCACCGATCCGACTAATTCTAGTAACCACGCGCGTATGTGCTTAGTGCCGATTCTTGCGCGCTTCGCAGAATAAAAAAACAAATTACTAACGGAAATTTCCAACGGTGCTTCTTAAGATGCACCGTTAGAAAGGCCTTCTTTTGTTGATTTCCTTCAAAATGATAGCTTGCCAGAAAGAATAATTTCACAGGGAGTTTAGTCCACTTACTATCTTTTAACCAAGTATGTTTTTTAACAATAATTACGCCAGTTACTATTTGGGCCATTGGGCTTTTGTACATTGGAGGATATTGGAGGCTCACAGAATGATCCCAACCAAAAAGCCAAGGGAGATATTTTAACTCTACTACCTGGACGTTTTGTTATAACACTTCCTGAATCCTTCAAAATTTAACACAGTGCAACAAAGCCAGTGGCATATTCTTTGTAATCGTACAAAAATGTGAGATCAGGCCCCTTTAAAATTATTAACCTTAACCCTGCTGAATCCAACAGGATCCAACTATGTCATATACCCGATGGAGCCTGTTGGATTGAGCAGTTAACCCCTTGTGTACATTCCTCATGCAAAATATTGGATTCAGCAGGCAACTGAACCGCATTATAACGCCAAGATGGACTCTGTTGGATTCAGCAGACAACTGAAAATAAGGCACAGTGGATTGAGCAGGAAACTCCTGATGGACTCTATTGGATTTAGTAGGATAGTCCTGAGGAATTACTAGGAGGTTAGGGTTCATATTGAGGGACTGTTGGCCTCTGTCAAAATGCATTAAAGGGAATATACATCATTTGCTTTTGCTGTAATTTTCAGACATGGATGGAATTGGGGGGTTGGAAATATATAGCAAATATAGTTACACTGACTTTTTTGAGGTTTTGGGTTCGAAAATGCTATAAAAACCAAGAAAAACAATCATTTTCCTGTAGTCTGGTTCCCTGACTCCATTTAAGAAGAAACAGAGCAGTTTACATACATTGGGGAATTGTAAAACATACATTGGGGAATTGTAAGGTCAGGGAACCAGTCTAGCTGGCTTGTACCCGTTCATAGGTGTGTAATCGATTGCAAACAAGTGCGATGGTCAACTGGGGCCAGTATTTGAAAAAAAGCCAGTTTTTTTCCAACGCTGGTCGGCCGATCAGCGTTGGAAATTGATACAAAAATACCACTTTTCTTGAAAATGACAGTATACCAGGTGCCATGATTTTACAGGATGCTTTACACTGTCATTCACTAACAGTCCAGCAAGGTATTTCAAAATGATTTGGTAGTTTTATTTTTTGATGTTTGCAAATGTTGTATTTTCCCTTTAAATCTAAGCGTTTGATTTTAAAGATTTTGATTGATTTCGATTAAACCTATTAACACCTGTACCGCGTTGTATAACAGTGTATTTATGCCCAGAAGAATCCATACAACCATTTGACGCAAGATCGGTTAGGGGTGGTACAGGCAGAGGATTTTGGGCAATACAGAGACTACGGTTCAAATAAGTGTCTTGTAAACCCCTTTTTCCCAGTAAAACTGTTTTTTTTTTGTAGGAGCCATTGTGACAGTGCCCCATTTTGAGTGTTTTTTGTTTCTTTTGATCTGCTTCCTGTACTTTCCTCGTTAAACCTTTTGTGACTTTTTTCAATCAAATCTTCCACATTGTCTCTCCTCACTCTGTAGACCTCTTTGAAAAGCTGGTTCCTCTAGCCGTGCACAATGCCCTGGACGCGTACGAGGCCAGGAAAGTAGAGATCGTGAGCCGGGAGGTGGGCAAACTGCGAGAGCAAACACAGCTGCTGAACAGGTAAACAAAGTCTGTTGTCACTGGCTCATAATTTATAATCACGTAGGATCATTTGTAATTACCCAGAAAAGTACTTACTGATGTAATGACAGAAATTTGCACAAAGTAAAGATAGTGAAATAATTCTGCCTAGAATGGTATCGTTTGGAAGGAAACTGACATTGGACGTGGTTTGTAATTTGTTCACCATGGAAAACCAAGCTCCTTATTCTCGAAGAGATGATGAAAAAAGTCCAAGATGTTATTTTAACTGTATAAGTTGCGTGGTTTTATTGTTTGTCAAACGCCACACTTTTGTTGAAAGCCGCTTTTGCACATGATTTGAGAGCTTCTATAAGGAACATTAGCTCAGGTTTGTACTTTAAACTCGGTCAAATATCAGCAATTCCGCAACCTGTTCTGTCTATTAGTTTAAAAAAGCTCCTTGACAATTTTCGACAAGTGCGCAGGCGCATGCAAATACCAATCTCCTGAAATTTTAAGTTGGCGCATGTTTAACTTGATCAACTGTTGCATTTTGAAATTGAATATTGGATTAAGTCCAAGCTGGAATAAAACTAAATTATTCGAAAATACATAAGCCTAACTTGTGAGGGACTTGACTACATGTACATCACTGGTCACAGATGATGTGGCCTATATGGGCTCCGCGCACAAGTACCCCCTCAACGGTGAGAAAGGGAGAGTTGGGGGGACCACTGGGAGGGACATTTGAACGCATTGCTGACACTAATTTGAAGATGCTATGGCCTTGCACACAAGGGGTTTGCCGGGTGTTTCTGGCAGTGGCTGCAATATGCGCCGTAGCACCTTGTAAATCCTTATAAGGTGCTACATAATGGGTCTCATATTTCTCATAGACTTCATTTACCTGTCTTTAATAATAGACATAATTTCCAGCGCCTTGAGTACCTAATTGTTGGTAGATACGTGCGCTATATAAGACTCCGGTATTAGTATTATTTTTATTCCCGTACGCCATGTGTCCTGTCCACTAGGGTCTTGTAAGTGGTCAAAAATGCCTTCTCTTGTATGTGCATGGAGCCCACGGAGAGAGTTCTTACTCCAAACTTCAGAATGTTCGAGTCTTCTCATCCTGAATTTGACGTCCAACACCTTATCAGTTGAACGGATTTCAATTTTGACTTCTTTCCCCTGCTAGTGTCCTATCCTCGCTGAATCTACCGGCAGCCATAGAGGACATGGGAGGCTCCAGTATACCGCCCTCGTTGTTGCTGAAGTCCAACGGGGTGCGCGAGAAAGGCGGCATCCAGAGCATTGACAAACTGTTCCACGAAATGCCCGAGCTACTGAAGAGGAACACCGAAATCCTGAATGAGGTATAAATGAAAACGAATGAAATCAATGAAACGTTTCAGACAGTGTGCTCTGTCCGTCCTCAGGAGGTCTTGGGGGGGGGGGGGGCTAGGGGGGGCTTTAGCCCCCCAAAAATTGTGTCTAGCCCCCCCCCCAAAATAAATTCCGTAAAAAGAAATTGCATTAGCAAAAAGAAGGATTGTGATGTACATGCGAACGGTATCCCCCAAAAGAAATAGTCGTGACAAGGGTGCATTTGTAGTTAATATAGTGTGAATGATTTTAGGATTTTATTGGCGCTCCCCATTGAAAATATGGCACAAGCCCCCCCCCCCCCCCCATTGATTTTCGGAGGCCTAAGTGTCTGGAGAAAATAACCGGTCTACATTTCAGCACGCCTCCCTGAACAAAATTCTGGATCCACCCTGCTAGCCCCCCCAATATTGGAACCAATATTGGTTCTAGAGCCGCGCCTGCCGTCAGCCGTGCCTGTGTATAAAAACAGCCAGTGCGTGTTATCACGTCCTCCGACGCAAGCTGGTTAAGTAATATTTGAAACTTTGAATGGTGGTAGTATAAACTAGTGAAGGTTTGCGGGAGCACCATGTGGAAAGCTCTTTTGGGAAGGTATGTGGTTCTGAAAAGAACCGGTTGGTTGTAAAACTCGACGTTCCAATCAGTGTGCCCTGATTGTCTTCAGGAGAAACTATCCACATGATGTTACCACAGACGTTTCCTAGATCACAGTTACTGATACATCAAATTGAGTGGTAGCATAGTGAAGGATAAGTAGTTTGATCTACAAGGTCAAATTCAAGTTCAAAGTAAAGGTCAAAAGGTCATCATACTGCAGATTACTCAGGCATGCAATATAATGGTGAATTTGGATTCCCTATGTGATGTTACCGTTCCAAAGCAACCAAGATCGACGAATTTGGCCCATTAACCTCATATTGGTACTTTGTAGTGACCATTTTTGTAAAATGCATTTTTCAAGTAGATGAATTAAAAAAAGGGACTGCATTCCACAAAACCGAATCCTAAGAATACTTTTGAACTTTTTTTTCATATATATGCATATGATTCAAGCTTTTCATTTCTATATATTGCTCAATTTGACACCTGGATGACAATGGCAGGGGCGAGACTTGTCAGGTTTCTTCCTTATTTGGGGGCATTTTGAAAGAATCCCTTTTGAAATCTGGAGTACCTGAGGTTTTGCCGTAAATGGTTAACCAACGAAAAGGTTTTTTTGAAGGGGTGCCTTGAAGCAAATACAAACATTCACCATAGACTGTACATTGTTCTGGGGGCCTCAGTGATCCTCAACCCCTTTGCCAACTATTCCGAGGATTTAAGTGGTTCATTCTCCACCAATCTCACCCCTGCAGTGGATTTTATGTAACTGATACTCATCAATTTCAATTTTGCAAGATTTGTTAAAGGGAAAATACAACATTTGCAAACATCAACAAATAAAACTACCAAATCATTTTGAAATACCTTGCTGGACTGTTAGTGAATGACAGTGTAAAGCATCCTGTAAAATCATGGCACCTGGTATACTGTCATTTTCAAGAAAAGTGGTATATTTGTATCAATTTCCAACGCTGATCGGCCGATCAGCGTTGGAAACAACTGGCTTTTTTTTTCAAATACTGGCCCCAATTGACCATCGCACTTGTTTGCAATCGATTACACACCTATGAACGGGTACAAGCCAGCTAGACTGGTAACCTGACCTTACAATTCCCCAATATATGTAAACTGCTCTGTTTCTTCTTAAATGGAGTCAGGGAACCAGACTACAGGAAAATGATTGTTTTTCTTGGTTTTTATAGCATTTTCGAACCCAAAACCTCAAAAAAGTCAGTGTAACTATATTTGCTATATATTTCCAACCCCCCAATTCCATCCATTTCTGAAAATTACAGCAAAAGCAAATGATGTATATTCCCTTTAAGCTCAAAAGTAGCTTTGGCGACTTCAGACTCATTTTGTCGACTTGTGGCTCAAAACGCTTTGTTACAGTCAGTACGCCTCCTCGACGAGGAAGGGAAAACAGACAGGGAGATGAGAGAACGCTTCAAGGAACGCTGGACCCGCCTCCCGTCGGATCAGCTGACCACGCCCCTGCGCAACGAATCGGCCAAGTACCGGACCATCCTGAACAATGCGATCCAAGCAGACGGCGTGGTGAGAGAAAAATACACCGCCAGCCGGGAGTACATCGCCATCCTGTCCAAGTCACCGGTAAGAAAAAGCAGTCCCGTCGGACCACTGATCTCTATATAAAGACTGGATAGCGGATATGCATACAACATTCACACAGTAGACTTTGCATATTGACCAATTCGCCCCCGGACTCACGAAGATGGCCGCGTATATACAAACGTTCTACGCGTAAATACGCGCGCGTTGTATCAACAGTTGACGCGCATTTTGGTCACGTACACATACTATGATGTTCTAAAAGGGACACATTTCCGTAGTGATTATTATTTCAAAACGCCGAAAAAGTTATATTTGCGGCATTTTAGTAACCACGACGTTAGAAAAATTGTAGTTAACCTTGGTCAGTGATGGTGGTCAACATATAAGTCAAGTGAATCGCGACGTTACAAAAGAAATCATGCTGTCTATAAAAACGACAACTTGTCCTTTGTAGATCACCAGCCGGTCTCACCAATATGGCGTCAAATTCGTACATTGTGCGGCTCTGTATTAGCTATCCAGTCTTTATATAGAGATCAGTGCGTCGGACCAGTAAGAAATTGTAAAACTGTCCAAACAGTTCAAAAGCCATTGTATTATGAGTGAGCGATGAATTTTTGCTGAGTTTTCTGCCTCTTCAGGCCGAGAGAGGCAAATATCTATCCTGTTTGATTTCTTCCGCCTCGCGAGGCGAAAAAGTCACCGTGTGCGGTCAACCGGAGCTACGTGCTGAGCTAAAAAGATTAACTAGCCAATGAAAGCACATAATTCATGTTTGTCGGTCACGTGATTTAAAAAAATGGGGGCAAACGCCAGCAAGCTATAGAAGATTTGCACTTAAAAATATCTGAAAATCACGCGAGGCGAAGAAGTCACTGTGTGCGGTCAACCTGAGCTACGTGCTGAGCTACAAAGATTAACTAGCCAATGAAAGCACATAATTCTTGTTTGTCGGTCACGTGATTTAAAAAAATGGGGACAAACGCAAGCAAGCTATAGAAGATTTGCACTTAAAAATATCTGAAAATCACGTGTACAGAGTACTTGATTTCATTGGCTAGTTAATCTTATTAGCTCAGCACGTAGCTCAGGTTGACGACACACAGTGAGTTTTTGGCATAGATATTTGCCTCACAGCCACGCAAGGCAGAAAACTCAGCAAAAATTCACTGCACACAGGGATATTTTGTGAGCTACCTGAACGGCCTCGAATGACTTTTTGCTCAGCATGTAGCTCTCGTGTGCAGCGGGCTCAACAATGTGTGTTGTGATTTATTTGTTGAATGAGGCTCTAAATTATCTCTGAGAAAATCCCCCATATTCCCATACACTTCACCCCTGGTTGCGGTACCCGCTGCTATATCTGATTCGACCCAGCCAGCCAACCCCAGCAAGCTAAGTGGTTGAGTAGTAAAATGTCTGCACTAGTAAGCAGGACGTCGTGGGTTCGAGTCCCACCTGAGTAGGTTGTGACATTTGTCTCCCAAGCACCTGGACAACACTGATTATAGAGTGATTATGAAATGACGGGCAAAAATAACCCATTTGTGAATTTACCACTGATTAGGCAAAAAAAATAAATATTTGGTCTCTGTTCAGACCAAAGTTCCGGAATTGACGCGGGGACGCAGCTTTTTTTTTTTTTTCTTCAAGCTTGGATTGTACAGACAAGGTGGGGTACTATTTTGCTACTTGGTGTCCTCATGTACATTGGTGTCCTCCATAATTTGCCTTGGTGCTCTCGATCATTTGCCTTGGTGCAATTTCCCATTCCTTGGTGCTCTTTGGTAAAAAAAATTGAGGAGGTGCGGCAATAGAGGGCGCTGTTGGAGCTACCGCAGAACACTTTGGGGAAAAAAAGATTGACGCGCATGATTAAAATCGACGCGCGCGCTGACCAGAGACCGACTTATTATTTTTTTTGGCCTTATGTTTGAATGTTTTCCATACAGAATGAGATGGGATCGGACCTGCCTGCAACCAGCGCCGCAGCAGCCCTGAAGGACAGCCCGGCTGTACGGAAGCTGCGGGATCTCATGAAGCAAGTAGAAGCCATCAAAAATGAGCGTGAGGTCATGGAGGCGGAAATCAAGAATACCAAGTGTGACATGAGTAAGGCCAGAATTGAGTTTACCATTTACAACTTTTAGATTGCATTAATAACCCCCAAAAAGGTGACATCTTAACACCAATAGTGGAATCCGGCGACCAGAATTAGAAGCTTTGACTGCAGTGGTGTCATGCTCGCGCGCATGCTGCATGCGTTCTTAAAGACGAGGCGCAAGCGCATTTTGTTATTCCTACTGGTCGAAGGAGCCCGAAGCAGGTGCGTACTACTTGAGCGCGACTCGCCTGGGCCTCAGGCCACAGAAAATGGCTGCCGCCAGATTTGTCTATATCCTGAAACAATGATGCTGGTACCCATTTATACTCCTGGGTAGGGAGAGAGGCAAGTTGGGATAAAGTAGCTTGCCCAAGGACACAACATTTTTTCAGCAGCAGGATTTGAACCCCTGACCCTCTGATCGTGATTGGCAAATTCCAACACCCACATGGGAAATCGTTCACACACACTGTTGGACTTCATTTGTGGAGGTATGCCAAACCCAATGTAAAAGACCATCAGTTTAGGGGTATTGTACCTATCCTAACAGATTTCAACAAAACCTACTGTGGAGCTTTGATGGGTTGAGTTCGGTTGGGGTTAAGGGTTTATTGTATATGATGATCCATTTGCATCATTCATATTGTTCCGCAGCGTCCAAATTCCTAAGCGCCTTGGCTTCAGACGGTGTCGTTAATGAAGAAGACTTGTCCAATCAGGATCTGGATCGTCTCTTCAATCCACTCATCCAGCAAGTCCAGGAAAGCGTCCACAGGCAGGAGGTTCTGCTGAATAACGTCCAGGTAAGTCCAACACAGATGCTTCCATTTCTTGGATGTAACACAGCACACAAGTACCCCCAGAAAATTGTGAAAGTGAAAGAACTTGATAATGAAAGACAGTAGAGTACAGTTGACCCTGTGGCAGATTTGGCAAGAAGCCCCGCCCACTTGAGAATGGAACGTTCTGGATTTGGCAATAAGCCCCGCCCACTTGAGAATGGACCGTTCTGGATTTGGCAATAAGCCCCGCCCACTTGAGAATGGACTGTTCTAGATTCAGCAAAAAGCCCCGCCCACTTGAGATTGGACCGTTCTGGATTTGGCAATAAGCCCCGCCCACTTGAGAATGGAACGTTCTGGATTTGGCAATAAGCCCCGCCCACTTGAGAATGGACTGTTCTAGATTCAGCAAAAAGCCCCGCCCACTTGAGATTGGACCGTTCTGGCATCAGGGAATGGGCCTGAACAAGGTATGCACACACATACTGAGCGTGTACATGCAGTTTTGTGACGAGCAAATGTCCAAAACTTTTCAATATGATAGGGCCAAATTTTGATGATTTACTTTTGAAGTTGAACTTATCCCACTGACAAATTAAATCCATTCAAAGTATTTCAACACATATTAAAGGGAATATACATCATTTGCTTTTGCTGTAATTTTCAGAAATGGATGGAATTGGGGGGTTGGAAATATATAGCAAATATAGTTACACTGACTTTTTTGAGGTTTTGGGTTCGAAAAACCTATAAAAACCAAGAAAAACAATCATTTTCCTGTAGTCTGGTTCCCTGACTCCATATAAGAAGAAACAGAGCAGTTTACATACATTGGGAAATTGTAAGGTCAGGGAACCAGTCTAGCTGGCTTGTACCCGTTCATAGGTGTGTAATCGATTGCAAACAAGTGCGATGGTCAATTGGGGCCTGTATTTGAAAAAAAGCCAGTTTTTTCCAACGCTGGTCGGCCGACCAGCGTTGGAAATTGATACAAAAATACCACTTTTCTTGAAAATGACAGTATACCAGGTGCCATGATTTTACAGGATGCTTTACACTGTCATTCACTAATAGTCCAGCAAGGTATTTCAAAATGATTTGGTAGTTTTATTTTTTGATGTTTGCAAATGTTGTATTTTCCCTTTAAAGGGAATATACAACATTTGCAAACATCGAAAAAAAAAACTACCAAGTTTTTGCGAAATACCTTAATAGGATGTTGGTAAATGACAGCCTGAAGCATCCTGTAAAATTATGGCACCTGGTATACTGTCATTTTCAAGAAAAGTGGTATTTTTGTATCAATTTCCAACGCTGATCGGCCGATCAGCGTTGGAAACAACTGGCTTTTTTTCAAATACTGGCCCCAATTGACCATTGCACTTGTTTGCAATCGATTACAAACCTATGAACGGGTACGAGCCAGCTAGACTGGTTCCCTGACCTTACAATTCCCCAATGTATGTAAACTGCTCTGTTTCTTCTTATATGGAGTCAGGGAACCAGACTACAGGAAAATGATCGTTTTTCTTGGTTTTTATAGCATTTTCGAACCCAAAACCTCCAAAAAGTCAGTGCAACTATATTTGCTTTATATTTCCAACCCCCAATTCCATCCATTTCTGAAAATTACAGCAAAAGCAAATGATGTATATTCCCTTTAACCATTCATATATTTGTGGAGGAATTAGAAATGGAGTTAAAGGGATCATTTTGGGTGGAAATTATCAATTTCACTCATTATGCGTGACGGTCCGTCGACAAATTTCATGATGGCACCCCCTCCCTCCCCATTCAAAATGGTCTAGCGACGCCCGTTTCCAGATTTGGCCAGAAGCCCCGCCCAGTTTTGGCATAGGCACAACATGTGCGTCTCCACAATGCCACACTATATGTTCCAGCCGGGCGTGTCGTGCGTCATTGCATGCATTTCAGACTTGCATGTATGTCGGCCATTCGCTTATTGTGATTGTACAAAACATCAATGTGTGGGGCTTAACTCTAACCCCTCCTCAATCCTCCAAAATCGTCCAGGCAGTTTTAAAGGATTTTGAAGGATTGAGGCTGAATTGCAAAAAAATGTTGGTTGATTTTCAATCGAGGATGCTTTGTGTCGAGTTCGTAGGCTGTACCCTGTATTTTTTATGTTCAGCCATGCATAATTGAGCCCTGCATTATGCTCGATATCATCCGCACTGCTTCTGAATGTCATCGGCACTGCCTCAACCCATTAACAATGATTAAATTGGAGGACTTGGAGGGAATTGGGCAGTGGTCACCCCTCCATTGAACAAATTCAAGAAATAACTGATGATTTTGGAGGATTGAGGCTGAATCCAATTTTAACATGGTGGCAATTGGACGATTTTGCAGGATTGAGGATGGTTCCTAGCCAAAAGGGCCTAGGGGGTTAGGGTTTATGGATTTGTCTTTCTCCACCAAGGCAATCTTTTGACATGCAAGCTTTTTGCGTTTCACAGCTGCACAAGGTTGATTTTTAGGTGTTGGGCCTGAGCCCAACACCTATTGTTATTGTAAGAATTTACTATTTTTTTTTTTTTTTTTAATTTCTCCAAGACACATTCGTTTCCAGAACCGTTTGTCAAAATGAAAACACATATGAACTTCAATTGTCAATACATGAATGCACAACCCACTGAAGATGTGCTTTTTTGCAATTACGTCATTATGACGTCATCACGGGTCACGTGACGTCACTTCAAAAAATAATCAATTTAATCTTTGAAATTCAATATAAAATCAACCGTGAGAGACCGTAACTTGAATTTTGCGGAAATCGACATGATAATACATGCTCTTCAATTAATCTTGTGTGCGTAAAATCACATGACCCTTCCTTCCGGTCGAAACCGGAAGTGCCTAATAATTCAAAAGTGGAAAAAGACATAAACTTGCTTTCAACGATGTTAGCCTGTGGGTGGGTTGATCTTTCCAAAAAAATGATCGGTGACGCCATCAAGTGTTCGAGCGCCCTCTAGCGGCAGTTTAAAAAATGTCCAAAACGCATTTTCAGTTGATGTCTGTGGCGAAATTTGCGGTAGTCGCTTCAAAATTAATATACATAATGACCTTAATGCACACAAGACCTGTACGCGAAAAAAAAATGATTACGTCATCAGACCGGAAGTTACAATGAAAAGACCTCTTTTCCTCTGAAAATTGCTAAAAAATCAACCGTCAGAGATATAATCCAGTTTTGTGCTTCAAATGGCACTTTAATAATAGGTCTAAAACTTCCCAAGGTTTCGTTACAATAAATTTACTAGAAGATGCCCTGCAGCCCCCTTGAAGTTTGAAGTTGAACACGCCTACGCATTGAAACGCTCATTTAATGCCACGTACATTGTGTGTACAGCAAATGGGGATAATTGCGTACAAAGGGAAAATCCCGAAAAACAGTGTGCTGCGATTGCGTAAAAGGGAACTTCCCCTCATATGATGCTCAAACATTGGGCTGGCAAAAGCGCCCCATTGGGCGCTTTTTCAAATTGGGCGCTTTTTCTAAAAACATGCGCATTGGGGTTAAGAGGGTATGGCGAGCAATATCTTGAATTGCGCCAATGGTGTGCGACCTTTACTTTTAGAGATATGAGCTATTTCATTGGTATTTGTAACAATTGTACTAGATAAGTTTACAGTACAGCAGCATACGCGCGTGCAGATCCTCACCTGACTCTTTTTAACTATCCTCTGTATAATTACTCCACGCGCTATTTTTCAACCCTCAACCCTCAACCCTCAACATCAACATCAACAATCAATGATCAACATTAACATCAACAATCAACATGAACAGTCAACATCAACATCAACAATCAACATCAACAATCAACATTAACATCAACAAAGAACATCAACAATCAACATCAACATCAACAATCAACATCAACAATCAATTTCAACAATCAACATTAACAACAACATCAACAATCATCAACAATCAACATCAATAATCGTTAATCAACAACACCTATCAACTGTCAACAATCAACAATCGACATGAACAACCACCGTCAAATTCAATCGACAATCAACATCAATATCATCAATCAACAATCAACATAAACATAACTTACAATAAACATCAACAATCAACATTAACAATCAACAACAACAATCAACAACAATCAACAATCAACAGTGTGAAAAAGCCAAACCTCTAGCCCAACACCGTGTGTTTGTCCTCAAACTCTAGTTGTTTTTGTCTTTCATTCTTCCAAGGATGCCAACACCAAATTCTGCACGGCGAAGCAGTCAGACACCTCGGCCAATAATCGTGAAGAGGTCCTACGCAAGTTGGCTGCCGCCCACGACGCTTACATGGAACTCACTGCTAATCTGACAGAAGGCACTAAGGTAGCTTAAAAACTACAGGAAAATGCTTTTTGTGCTTTATTTTATTTTATCAGTATGTTTCTAAGAGTAAAAGAGACTAAGTAATGTGCCCCCCCCCCATTAATAAAGTATCCCACTCCTAGGCAAACATACATTCTGTGCCAAGTTGTCCTTTCAGTCAAAATCAATCAATTGACTGTTTTTGACAGTACAGGAGTGTGATGGCCTAGCGGTTAAGAGCACCGGACTCATGCTCTGGTGTTTCAGAGGCAACAGTGGCGTGGGTTCGAGCCCGGGCCCGGACACTTGTGCCCTTAAGCAAGGCACTTAATCATTATTGCTTCGTCCTTCAGATGGGACGTTAAGCCGGAGGTCCCGTGTGTTGTATAAGGCCTAACGCACGTAAAAGAACCCAGTAACACTTATCGTTAAGAGAAGGGGATTGCCCCGGTGTTTCTGACCTCCTAGTTATACTCCCTTGTGGAAGTCCTTAGGAGAAGAGCCAACCAAGTTACCAAAGAGCACCCAGCCTACATAAGCAGGATTGACTGGCTGTGACTGTTTATGTAACTTTAATAGCCTATTTGTCAGTAGCCTTGGCTTCTTGAAAGTATCCTCTTTTCTTTTTTTGTCCTTCATTGAGCATTATTTTTTAAGTGTTTTCATAACTGTCTCATCCACGTATCTCTTTTACTGTTGAAGGTGTGGAAATAAATGTTCTGTTGAATTGAATTGAATTGAATTGTGGAGACTAGTCAGAAGTCATGAACGTTTTTTTTTATCTCCTTTTTTCCCCCCTTAGTTCTACAACGACCTGACCGGGCTGCTGGTGCGATTCCAGAGTAAGGTCTCTGACCTCTGCTTTGCCAGGAAGACAGAGAAGGAAGAGCTCCTGAGGGACCTGACTCAGAGCATCGCTAACCAGCCTACTTCTCCGCCTCCCGTCACCCCGGCCCATCATGCCCAAGGTAAGGCCGTCCTCTGAAGGGCACAGGGTACCAGACTCACAGAGTTAAGCCATGTCCGAAACTGGCTTCCAGGGCTACGGCTATGTGTATTGTCAACCTGTTCTGATCGAAGTATAAGAAATATATCATGATTTGAGGGTGGATACTTGACGATAGTTGGCGAGGCCAAGGGAAGTAGGAACTTTGTATGAATTGGCTTGCAGTTACTTTGGTGTGCTTGAAAGCATGCAAACTGACAAGAAATCCCAACGTGTAATCAAATAAGATTTGAAGGTTTGCATGGTGGAGGTAGCAATAAGATTTGTTTAAGATTTACAGTAGCACCATGTGACAAATCTCTTTTATGTGGTTGTGAGGTTCTAAAAAGAGCCGGGGAACTCAACATTTCAGAGAGTATACTCTGCCCGTCATCAAGGAGACTGAAGGGATTCAATGGAGAAGGGGTGTTATCGTCGCGTCAGTGCAACAAGGTCGTAACTCGATTCTGCAACAAAGTTGTATCTCGCGTGAATACTCTCCGTGCAACAAGGTCGTATCTGGCATATCGCGACGTCTATTGACTTTGTGTGTACATCCGGGTAATGTTAAGCGAGATACAACCTTTTGACATTGAAAACTCCCGTTTCACGTGCATGACGCCACCCGCCATTTTAGGAGATACGACCTTAAGACAAGATAAGTTTGCGGTAGCACCATGTGAATAAATCTCTTTTGTGAGTATGTGTGGTTCTGAAAAGAATCGGAGGGACTCTATTCACATGGTGCTACCGCAAACTTATCTTGTCTTAGTATCTTTCCACCATGCGAGATACGACCTTGTTGCACAGACACAACGTTATGTAGTGTGACTGGAAGCAGTGAAGCGCATGGAGGATGCTGGCTGATCAGTGAGGCACGTCAGTGTGGGGACCATGCAGAAGCTCGGGGATGCTAGAAGATCAGTTAAGCTGTCAGTATGGAGGAAGGGAGTGAAGGGGGAGGTTGCCAAGGGTATAGGGGCCCATAGGCTGACTAGGGTGGGGGAACTGTGTTGTCCTTAGGTATAGAAGAGCCATTGGACTGTGTGGTGAGGATGGGGCCCCAGATGTCACTGATGGAGAAAGAAGTGCTTGAAGATTTCATTGGCCTCTCTGATGCTGGCGATGAGTTCAGCCTGGTGCCAGTTGATCTGATTATCCTCGGAGTGCAGAATGCTTGACTATGGAGGACTTGTCAAAACCTCCGCGTCTGCCATGGGCTTTGTGTTCACTGAGTCTAGAAGAGAGGTCACGGCCAGTCTCACCGATTTACACTTTGCCAATGTGGCAAAGTTACATCCTTCATGTGCTTGACTGCTTCCAGATACACTACATGACGCCCCTTCTCCTTTGGAATCCCTTCAGTCTCCTGACGACTAGCCTTTAGTCATGGCGCGCATGTCTACCCCGACGTGTGGCACCCCAGATTCTGGCACCAAAAAAGACCAGTCGAGTGGCGAAGCCACGAGCGCCTTTACCATCTCGTGGAGCTAATCATTATTCATTTTTCCAAGTAGTATGAATCATGCATGTATGCGGATATATATGGACCAATCACCATGAACAAGCCATTTTGAGGTGATCACACGCGCGCGCGCCACACGCGTTCTAAAAAAAACAAGACGCGCACGCATTCACAACATGTCATGCATTATGCATGAAAATTTGTCTACCAAATCGGTAGACAAAATGTAAAGAAAAACATAAGCGCTCTCCACGAGATGGTAAAGGCCCTCGTGGCTTCGCCGCTCCTGCTAGTCTTTTTACGTGCCAGCGTCCGGGGTGTGTCATGTGTCCGGATAAGCGCGTGGGACTTGACTAAAGGCTTCCTGACGACGGGCAGAGTATATCGTCCGAAACGTTGAGTTTTTCTCGGTACTTTTCAGAACCTCACAAACTCACAAAAGAGAATTGTCTGTTTGAAATGCCCCTAGTCCCTCCCGCTCAAAACCTGCTAACAATTCACTATTTGTGTGTCTGTTTAACTGTCTAATGCCTGTTCCCATTTCCTCGTACGCTAATCTTGCCATCACACTTCCGTTCTCAACATCCCAAGTTGATTTTCTTTCGTCCGCGTCATACCCTCCAAGCGTCAGCTAAACATGAGGAAAGATATAAGGCTCTGTAATTCACATCTCCTCCGAGTCACTATTTCGAACAATGAGCCAAATCGGTATTCCAGCTGCACATGTGCATAACAAGATTTGACGATTTTTAGTTCGGGATAAACATGGCAGATAAATGCACACATGTCTATGGGGGACAGGGTAACTGAATCTGCATTCAGCAATTTTTTTTTATGCAATCAAAAAGACGATGGAAACTTTAATTTGCACAAAAGTTGGGGCACACTTAACGCCTAATAACACTGGGCTGTCCAAACTGTTTGAAATTTTGTGCTTATAAGAACACAACCAGGGATTGGACCGAAACTCTATACTACCATTTCTTTTCCAAGTCCCCCCCCCCCCTTGCATCCCCATACTAACCCAACAATTCCTCTGTCTGATGCATGTTTTTGGCAGCTTTTTCCAACGCGGCCCAGAGCGGGGGACAAGGGCCCTATGGGGCCCCAGGCCAACAAGGTAGATAAAGTAAAGAAACCACCCACCATCACTGCCAAATCATGCTTATAGAACCAGGTCGGTTTGTTGTTCTATTCTAGACACTTGAAGGCTAATCACCAAAAACAATGTTCTGTAGCTGTCACCTCTCACCTTGCACTAACACAGGTTCTGGTAGCTGAGTAGTATGCATGTAATAGCTTGAGTAACTCCAGCTTAACAAGCTCATCAGGAATTCACATGTAATGCTGGAGACAGATGTACGTTGTTAAAGTGGGATCGTAAGAGACCCTTAAAGCTATAGTCCATCATTTGCAGCCATCCGAAAAGTAACTGGCGTAATTATTGTTGAAAAACAAATTTGGTTGAAAGAAAGTAAGGGAACTAAACTCCCTGTGAAATTATTCTTTCTGGGAAACTGTCATGTTGAAGTAATCAACGAAAGAAGGCCTTTCCAACGGTGCGTCTTGAGACGCACCGTAGGAAAATTTAAATTAGTTGTTCGTTTTGTTATTCGGCGAAGCGCGCGCAAGCATTGGCAGGACGCACAGGCGCGCGCGGTTGCTATAATTCGTCGAATCAGTGCGCGACGTCGCGTATAGCTGCAATTCAAAACAATTCAAAACATGATTCAGTACCTTTTGATTTGAAATTGAGATCCTAGAATGCTGTTCTCGCTATATACAGCTGAAGCTTAGCTGAAACTTCATCAGGTTAGTTGTTCAGTATCCTTCATTAGATTTTGAACAATTTTGTTGCTTCAAACGAAAAAAATGCACAAATTACAAATGATGGACCATATCTTTAAAAACGGCCTCCACAAAATGGTCCTTTTTTCCCTCCACAAAATGGTCCTTTTTTTCCTCTATCCCAACCCAGATTCCATTAAACATACCTCATAACATGCACTCAGTCATTCACGATGCTAATGATCGACTTCAAACAGTTACTAAAATATGAAAAATGATGATGATTTCGGTGGCTCTGCTTCAGAGAAATCGTCCAGTGCTGCACTGTCATGGCTGTGGTGTGGTTATTGCGTGCTTGAGCCGATCAGCCAATCAGATTAATCCTTGGTTATTCATGTTGAGTAGGACATCCAACAGCTGTTGGGTCATGGCCATGGACTGTGCTGTGTACATGCAGAATGTACTACTGATCCGACGGCTGTTTGATATGCTACTCAGCATAAATAATCAAGGTACATCTGTCTCCAGTGTTACATGTGAATTCCTGATGAGCTTGTTAAGCTGGCGTTACTCCAGCTATACATGGAATACAAAATACAACATCATGGTTTGAGGGGATCGAAATAGTACAAAGTTATTGATCCAAGGTGCTGGCTACATAATCAGCCAACACTAAGGGACCGGTATGTTGCACTTCTTCCCCGAAATAAACGATGCTGTGTTTGTTTTATTACAACTCATGCATATTCAGTTCCGCACTCTTTTACTTTCCCAGCACTTTGGAACATCAACCAATGAAAGAAGTGCGTTTGCCTCATAAATATGTATGAGTCAATGTTAGGTTTTGCCCTTCATCGACGTATAAACACTGTATACTCAAGTGTGTTACCTCCCGAATGAAAGTTGGAAAACACTCACTCGGGTGGGACTCGAACCCACGAGCTCCTGCTTTCTAGTGCAGCAACTTACCACTCAATCATTGAGCTTGCATCCTAAAATACCCGCAACATTGTTTTGCGAGGCTCTAGCGTCGCCGCGGAAACACGTACCGCCATTATTTTTATATCATTTAAAAGCTTGGAATCTTAACTTTATCCCTGGTAAGTATTGGTTTGATTTTCAAAAGGGTTTTGAAATTATTCGGGTTCAAATAAAGGCATGTCAAAAACAAACTTAACCGATTTCAAGGAAAATCAATAGTGCGCATTTTTTTCTAATGTGGAAATGCTTCATCATGTTCAAGATGTGACGATCTGGTTGCCTTTTACTTTCTGTGTTTCCTATTCGTTTCGATCCACGCAGACTACACCTTAAGTAAATTCACAATATTGTTCATCGTTTTTGTTATTCTGATTTCCTTTTGAAATTCACGTGCAAGTATGTACCTATTTAAAAAAGCGTGCTCAAAGTGTGACTCAAGTTTGCATCTGATGTACCGCATCATCAATTTTCCTTGAAATCGGTTGAGTTTGTTTTCGACATGCCTTTATTTGAACAATAATTATAAAACTCTTTTAACCCTTACCCTACTAGACCCTCCAACGCATGCCAATATGTGCCTCAAGAAAATCTCCTATGTTTTTTGCATGGCCCTCCAATATCTGCCATGTCATTTCAAGGGTAACTGGACAGGCACTCCAATACATGCCACAGAGAACAATGAGAGTCCTCTGATAACAATCAAGCGCCCCCAGCTGGTCAGTATCAGGCACCCTCCAGGGCCTCCAACTCCTGCCAATTGGAGCCTTCACTGCTACATCAAAGTATCCTCCAATAAACTGCAGCTGGAGGGCATTGGCATAACCAACTGACATGCAGTAAACTACCCTCAGAGAGTAAGGGTTAAATATCAAACCAGTACTCACCAGGGATAAAGTTAAGATTCCAAGCTTTAAAATGGTATACACATAATGGCGGTACGTGTTTCCGCGCCGATGCTAGAGCCACGCAAAAAAAATTGCGGGTATTTTTGGACGCGCTGTAATAGACCTAGACTAGTTCCCTTACCTTACAATTTTCCGGCATCTGGAAATTGATCCATTTTATCTTTGGTGGAGTCAGGGAACCAGACTACTTGAACGTTTTTGTTTTTCTTGGTTTTTCAAGCATTTTCGAACAAAAAACTTCAAAAATGTCAGTGTAACAAAATTTGATCTATTATACTAACCCCCCAAATAGTTCATTTCTGAAAATTACAGCAAAAGCCTCGCAAAAAAAATTGCGGGTATTTTTGGACGCGCTGTAATAGACCCATCCATTAGGCCCCTCCCACTGCACACATGGCCAACAACATGTGCAGGCGCACATGTTGTTGGCCATGCCACACGTCAATGCCACACTGCATGTGCCGGGAGTGTGCGTCATACGCACGTGCACCCATGTCAGACTTTTGTGCACGCATGTCAGACATTAATCAGGGCGGGGCTGAATGGATTGATTTATAGGCCCCATCTGAATTACATGTCCTTGGCTATGGCCAACAGTAATAATGTACATGTGTCTAAAAGGGAAATGGCTTCAGCCTCTTCCATTGTGGCATGTGTGATTGAAAGTCGTAGCCACATAAATGGGACACAGCCATAGCCCTCTGATGAGCAGTAATACACTGATGTCTAGCTAACTATTGCTATTCACATCACCACCAGGGCCCAATTTCGTAGCGCTGCTTAACAGCTGACTTTGTGCTTACCGAGCCTCCATCTATTTCATAGGGACCGTTAAGCAGTAAGCACAGCAAAAGCACGCTTAACCCCAGAAGAAAACTTTGCTTAAATCAGTGACGTAACAATAGAAATCTCCATGCGCGCGCAACCGTTAGCATGAAATAGTGCCTAAGCAGCAGCATGATTTTCTGCTATAGTAAGCACAACTTTTCTGCTTACTGTTAAGCAGTGCTATGAAATTGGGCCCTGTTGGGGCCAATTTCATAGAGCTGCTTAAGCACAAAATTTGCTTAAGCACAAAAAAAACTTGCTTATTATAATCAGGTTACCGGCCAAAACGCGATTTGATGTACATTGCTTGTGACTGGTATTTAGCTGTTGTTTACTTAGCATAACAGTCGCATGGAGTTTTGGTGGGTAACCTGATTATATTAACCCTAACAGAACTCAACCCATCAATCCCCAACAGCATGTTTTGTTGGAATCTGTCAGGATGGGTACAGTACGCCTAAACTGACAGTCTTTTACATTGGGTTGGCACACCTCCAGAATCAAAGTCAGAAATATGTGTGTGCAGTTTCCCATATGATGTTGGAATTTGCCAGGATGGGTATGGTTCCTAGTAAATCATGCTAGGGAGTTAGGGTTAAGCAAAGTTTTTTGTGCTTAAGCAAATTTTGTGCTTAAGCAGCTCTATGAATTTGGCCCCACAGGTCATCTTTACCTTTCACCTGTGTCACCTTTCACCTCTTTGCCCTTTCTGCTGGTTCACTAGTTAACTTGACCTTGGCTCACATTTTTGTTTCTACGTTTCTCTCTTCATTGACTCTTTGACTTACAACATGCTAGCTTTTTAGTCACTATTTTGTGATGCATGTATCTACGCGTACTTGATGTCATAATAGTCATGGAGCCTCATTCATGTTTCAAATGAATGTTTGCAAACATGTATTTAATCTGTAGCACACTTGAGACTGATGCAATGCTCCTTAACATTCTGTAAATACTCCTTAAATCTCATACATATTTATGTCAAGTGATAATGTTTGCTGAACTGGCTGTCTGAAATTAGTATTGAGAAGTTCATAGTAAGTGGGGCATCTTCACCATTACAGGCTTAACCTACTTCATGCATATGAAACAGTGAAATGAGTTTTCATCATGTCACAAAGAACAGTCCGTATTGCGTTTAAATTATTCATTATGAACCAGCCTTAAAGGGAATATACATCATTTGCTTTTGCTGTAATTTTCAGAAATGGATAGAATTGGGGGGTTGAAAATATATAGCAAATATAGTTACACTGACTTTTTTGAGGTTTTGGGTTTGAAAACGCTATAAAAACCAAGAAAAACAATCATTTTCCAGTAGTCTGGTTCCCTGACTCCATATAAGAAGAAACAGAGCAGTTTACATACATTGGGGAATTGTAAGGTCAGGGAACCAGTCTAGCTGGCTTGTACCCATTCATAGGTGTGTAATCGATTGCAAACAAGTGCGATGGTCAATTGGGGCCAGTATTTGAAAAAAAGCCAGTTTTTTCCAACGCTGGTCGGCCGACCAGCGTTGGAAATTGATACAAAAATACCACTTTTCTTGAAAATGACAGTATACCAGGTGCCATGATTTTACAGGATGCTTTACACTGTCATTCACTAACAGTCCAGCAAGGTATTTCAAAATGATTTGGTAGTTTTATTTTTTGATGTTTGCAAATGTTGTATTTTCCCTTTAAAGGTACTGTCCATCATTTGCAGCTATCCAAAAAGTAACTGACGAAATTATTGTTGAAAAGCATACTTGGTTTAAAGATAGTAATGGCACTAAATGCCCTGCGAAATTATTCTTTCTGGCATGCCGTCAGTTTGAAGAAAACAGTAAAAGAAGGTCATTTCCAAAGATGCGTCTAAAGCGCATTTTTTTGAAATTCCCTTAGTAGTTCCTTTCAATTTCGGTGAAGCCGTGAACTGGTGTGCGTGAGTGTTGACACGACACACACGTGCGCGGTGGTTATTATTCCTCAGTTCAACGCGTGACATCGCGTAGCTGCAATCAGCTGAATAAGAATGTGTCCCGGACGCTGATTTTGAGCGCAATTCAAAACATGACTCTGCAACTTTGAATCGAAACCAAGAGCCCAGAATATTGTTTATCTCGAATACACAGCATTCACTGAGCTAAAATTTCATCAGGTTAGTTGTTAAAGGGAATGTACAACATTTGCTTTTGCAGCAATTTTCAGAAATAACTGGATTTGGAGGATTAGTATGTTACAGAAAATATTGTTAAACTGACTTGTTTCACGTTTGGGCTTGTAGATGCTGGGAAAACCAAGAAAACCTATCATGTTCTTGTAGTCTGGTTCCCTGACCCCACTTAAGATGAAACGGAGCAATTAATACACTTTGGGGAATTGTAAGGTCGGACAATCAGTCTAGCAGGCTTGTACCCCTTCACAGGTGTGTAATCAATTGCAAAGAAAAGTCAGAATAACTAAATATGAAAACTTAGGAACAGTTTTTGAAAAAGGCCAGTTTTCTCCAACGCTGGTCGGCCGACCAGCGTTGGAAAATACACTATTTCTTGAAAATGTCAGCACACCAGGAGCCACGATTTTAAAGGATGTTTTAGACTATCAGCCCCTAACAATTCAGTAGGGTATTTCGTGATAATTTGATCATTTCATTCTTTGATGTTTGCAAATGTTGTATCTTCCCTTTAAGCACCTTTCTTTCTTTTTGCTTCAAGCGAAAAAAATGCACAACTGACAAATGATATACTCTACCTTTAAATCTCATTAAATGCTTTTGCATGTACTCACTTTGCCACCTTGTTTATTCCCTCATAAATGTTTGAACAGTTGCTAGTTGTCTTTCCTGCTTTCATTTTTAATCCATTCAATTTTAGACAAAGCTTTCAGATTTATCTTAATCATTTATCTTAATCATGTTAACATTCTATAACTAAAAACCTCATGGCAAGAATTGTATCTCATTTTAAAAATTATTTGTCATTCAAGGCAGATGATGCTCAAAAATGTACATCTCACTCATTCCAACAATTGCCATGGTTACAGTAGAAGTCAAGTTTTTTTCTTGATGGGCTGCTTAGGTCAAGCGAAAAAATATACCAGTTTTTTTCTGTCACCGCCCGCTATTTTCCGCCTGCTTTTTTTTTTTCTTTCTTTCTTTTTAAATTCATACATTTACAATACCTTTTGCAAATATATTGTCCTTAGAATTTGTTTCCAACAAATTTGTGGCTTTGTAGAAAGGCTTATGGCTCCTTTGGACGCAATCTTGTATCAGAAAAAAGAGTCAAGAACATGAAAGAAGCAAACCGCCATCTTGGAAAAGCCGCCATCTTGGGGGGAAAAAAGGGAGGGAAAAACCGCCAGCCTCCTTCACTTTTTTCAAAAAATCCCAGATTAGGCCAAAAAAAAAAAATTCTCAGTCTCTGGTCAGCGGGCGCGCCGATGTTAATCATGCGTGTCAACCTTTTTTTTTCTTCAAATTAATACGGAAGCTACAACAGCGCCCTCTATTGCCACACATCTTCAAATTTTTGTACCAAGGAGCACCAAGGAATGGGGAAATTACACCAAGGCAAATAAGAAAGGGCAGCAAGGCAAATTATGGAGGACACCAATGTTTAATGAGGACGCAAAAAGGAAAATAGTACCCACCTAGTCTGTACAATTGAAGCCTGAAAAAAAAAGCCATCCCCCCCAAAAAAAACCCGCGTCGCCGCATCAGTTCCAGATCTTCGGTCTGACCAGAGAACAATTTTTGTGTGTGTGTGACCTTATAAACTGTGTTTAAATTTACTCGGCCATCTTGTTGGATCCTCATTGTGGATAATAGTAATCTGAGCAAATGTCCTTGAATGCAGGATCACAGCGATTTCATACTTGGTTATTTTAGGACCCAGACTTTGAATGGACAAAATGAAGGTACTAATGTCGGGCTTTTTCCATATTCTTTTTCAGAATCATCCAGAGGACAGCCCCCACCTCGCCCAAACCAACCCCCCTCCCGGCCCCAAGCCCCGCCCTCCGCCCAAGCACCACCTCCTGCCCAAGCCCCTCCCCCAGCCCAAGCCCCTCCCGCAGCCCAAGCGCCTCGCCCGGCCCAAGCCACCCAGCCACCCTACTCCCAGCCACCCAATTACCCCCAGGGGTACCAAGCCATGCCCAGTTATGCCCCGTACGGGGGCTTCACCCCCATGCCTACCCCCTATAACCCCTATGCCGCCCCAATTATCCACAACAACCACAGCAGCAGCAATATGGCAACCCGTATCAGCAACAGCAGCCCGGGCAGTATCCACAGTATCCACACCCGGGCGGATATCAACAGCCGACAGCTCCACAACAACCGGGCTACAACCCATATCCTCAACAGTAAAGGTATCACCACTAGACGTAATAGTTGATTAAAGGTAACATGTATCCCACAAGTGTAACATTTCCCAGTCCCCTTCGTAAACATTTCAACTCTGGCCAATTTCGCAGCGAACATTTCATGACGTCAACTTTGCTTCGCATTTGCATTCAAGTACGAATCAGCCTTTACGCTTATTTCAATATTTCAACAACCAATGGCCGGGATCTTTCTCTATCAAACCACCGCCTGAAGGATTTTAAAGTATCTGGAAAGGTTAAGGCGTTTTTCATACTTCATGTGATGGCAGAGCAAATTGGATATCATGAACCATTTGCTGCGATACTCGCCAAACTTGAATTCAATTTTTTGCAAATTCGTAGCACGAAAATTAACTTTGTTGTGACGTCACAAATTCACAGTTGCGTTCACTTTTGCGCTGAGTGCGAACCGGTCTGTAGGCTCAAGCCGGAGCGTTTTAACTGGAAATCCTCCTGAATCTGAAACCTAATGGCACACTCTTCGAAATCAAATTTTCAAAGGTTAATCAAGCCAGTAACAAGCTTGCAACTTTGGCCGGGGCCTAATTTTCTCAATCCCACAAAAATCACCCTGCTGGAATTTACATGGACGGTCACAGTTTAATCGCATGTTTTTAAGTTGTGTACAATGTCTTAGTCACAATTTTAAGCACTGTAGAACTGCATTTAAAACATCACACTTTGTGCATCAATATAAGTTTTAGCGTTTTCTAATAGATGTTGAGTACTAAAGGTATTCAAGTTAGTCCTTTGTAGCAGGTGGCGGACATATTTTCTGCTTTAATCGACAATCCACTTTTCACTCCTTCAATAATTGCAGTAGGACATCAAGGCTAATCATATTGATGCAAGATGCATCTATTTCAGTGCAACATTGATTCGACTTTGAGTGCGTTCCCATTGTTTTTGAGACGCAAAAACTCGGTGTGCTCGCCTAGAATGTTCTGTGCATAAATGATGAAGATTTGTAGTTCTACTAAGTGTTCCAAAAATACTTACATCGCAACTGTATGAGCGTGATCACAGTCACATATTTCAATAAGGGAAAAAATGCAAGTTTACAACATCCGTTTCTTGTATTATATGGAAAATGGCGAATCGGACTTGGATAGTGGCACAAAGACTTTTTTGTTAAATTTCAGATTTTATATACATGTACTGAACAAAATATTATACATGTAGCAGTAAAGGTGTGTGCTTGTTTAATAATAAATTTTAAAACAAGGCGAAGAAAAGAAAGCAAACATATATATTATGAACATCTCACGAAATATTTTTTAAAAGTGTAAAATGACAAGTGAAACGGTCAAACTGATGTAACCATGGTGATATTTTGTAAAATCTCTGGTATTGTATTTCAGTAGTTTTGGCCTAAGCTGTAACACTCTGGCATCTCCAAAGTGTAGGTTTTTTTCAAATCTCTCCCAGTGTAGCACACATTTTTTTTTTTTTTTTTAGAGAATTTTGTACATTCTGAAAAAAACGTAGCATTGACCCCCCCCCCAAAAAAAAATCTATAATACTCATTATGTTAATGTTCCAATATGGAATCACCGGAGAAAAATCACTTCATTCTTAAAAAGCATATTTATGTAATCTGTAATTTAAAATGGTCATCGAATCCGCCTTCTATAGCTAAACCCAAAACAAAATCACATAAATCCTCTCTCCGAAATTCACTTCGAATCCCGTTGAATCCAACGAGCTCATCAGCGTTTTAAAACTTGTTTGGCAATTTCCAGTTGAAATTATGACGTGCTTGGTGCAAGACCTTCTAATAACATTGTTACCGAGAAACTTTGAAATTAATGCAGGCTGCAGAATAAAATGCTATTGCACAATCTAAAGTTCTGTCACTCCAGTTGTTTTGTCTTTTGCACGTACAAAGCCTCGTTTGTTCAAAATTGAAAAAAAAATTTAAAGGTTAACAATTTGGCTTGGTTCCTGTTGTGTAGTCAATATTGAAGTAAGTCACCGTAAGTCGGTCACAGGGAAGGGAAGTTCGTTTCTTTCTGCGTCTGTTGTGCATTTTGGTGAGGTGACTCACCGGTCATTGATGGGTTCTTGATACAAATTCCCCCTCCTGAAGATGCATCTTCGCAAAATTTGGCAGAGAGCCAGACTCGATCTGCGTGCCAGGTCTAAGAAGCACCTAGCTTTGAAAACAACCATCCCTCCACCATCTCTTCGTATAAAGGGAAGTTTGCATTAAAATTGCAGGATCCGACGAGAGACTATGTCGAAGAGTTCAGTTTGAGCAGTGTGAGCCACAACTTTTACAGGGCAAACTTTTTTGGGGATTAAAGCTACAGTCCATCATTTGCAGCTATCCAAAAAGTAACTGACGTAATTATTGTTGAAAAACATATTTGTTTGAAAGATAGGATGGGAACAAAACTCCCTGTGAAATTATTCAAAACCAATGATTATGCACACAAACAGCCAATATATGGAGCTTTTCAGAAACAGGCACCAAAAACGGAAAATGCCACAAAAAGGTCACCACTTCTCTCATAAAAAGTGCACTTGTTCAGAAAAAAAGGGCACTTCTTAAAAAAAAAAAGGGCACTCCTTGAAATTGTTGGGGGGGGGGGGTAAATCCCCCCCCCCCCCCAGCTCTGATTATGGCTAAACTTAGCAGGTCACCAGCCAAAATGACTTATGTTTTTCATTCCTTTTCTCACTGGTTTCCTGTAGCTGTTCACAACTCTTTTCATGGCTAAATGAAATAGGATCCCAGTCAGAAAGAATGTAAAAAAACCTTGCTGTCTCCTATTCGTTTAATCGCTTTAAACTGATAAACTAGCAAAAGCACTCTGTACTATGCACTTGTAACATATGCTTAAATGCATGTCTAAGCTTTAGTGTGTTGATGTAAAGATCGAGATCATATCATTACAAGTTATTCTTTAAAATCAGATAAGCTAATGTACATAATTGTTCAAGGTATGAGAGAAAGGGCACACTCTTTTGTTTCTGTTAAAAGTCATGAATAATTCATGAAACTAAAAACAGTTTCATGGATCAGATATACGTGTAAAGCTAAGAAAATATTGCTGCAAACAAATTTAAGTCATCTTTAAAACAAATCATTTATTTGTAAGTTTAAAGAAAAATATTTTTGTTTAATAGTTCTTTAGCAACAAGTGGGACTTTGTACTACTCTTAAGTTAAAGATAATTGTAAAATTAGTTCTAACTAAAAGGCGTGTGAAAGATGAATCTGTTTTTTTGTCTTTGTGAAAAAAAAATGTTTTTTGGGGGAAATTCTTTGTATAATTAAGATTTAAATAAAATATCTGTCAAAATTATTTTAAAAACTAATCATATCATTATACTTAATTTTTTTATGGATGTTCCTTTTTTGTGCCACATAAAGAATTTTGGTTTTGTGCAATGATTGCCCACATTAGTGAGAGCTGCGCTGTTATTGGTTGATGTGTAGATAAAGGACCAATAAGAGAGCAGATGTAAGAATATGGACCAATCACAGAGATTGAAAGTGACCCCTTCTTAAATACATATTGGTTTCCCCTTGGTGTTTTCAAAAATGTACATGATTATAGTTTAATAGATCTCCAGATATATTAAATTTTATTTTAACTTTTTTCCAAGAATCAAATGTTAAATAAACGATATTTAAGCATCTTCATTTTATATGTTTTTTTCTTTTCTTTTGATATTCAGTTTCTATAGAGTTTGTTTCTTTTTTGCTTTGGTGTAGGCGATTGCAAGCAAGAATCCTAAATTGGTCTGGTTCCACGATATTCTGTGTTTCAAATCATAACTCAGATGATGGAAAGAATGTAGTATCCAGACGCCACTTCCTTGGTTGTGTACAAAGTCTATGGAGAGTCGAGTGCATTTTCAAAGTATTTTCAAACTAAATTGGAAATGTTTCTCAGTCCCAGATTCATGTCTTTTGCAACATTTCTGTAATGACAGACCTTCATTGAGATAATATGTGATGAAAAAAAGTGGCGTCAGGATGCAACATTTTGTTCCCAGATGATTTCAGTTACCTGATTGCCTTGTCCAAGATACTCAATGTTTAAAATTACTTCAGTTGAGAAGAGTTCGAGAACCTGATTTGTTTGTCCAAGATAAAGGCCCATGAAGCCTAGATCGAGGCACGGATGCGAGAAGTTTGCATGGCCGACTTGGAACTAAGGAGATGGTCGTCATAGTCACTACTTGGTTGCTGGAAGACGTTTAACTGCAGAACTTTTAATTGAACATTTATTCCGAGACATCTAGCATCAGGCGGGAAGTAGTTTGCAGGCATTTAAACAAAAGACAGACAAAGACTCCCCCCAAAAAGGTGAGTATAAACCTCCTGAATTAGATTTTCCCATTCTTGGTAACATCCTGATATTTAACCGTGTTAGTGTCAAAGGATTGGTTTGTAGCAACATCAGCACCAGATTCAGTCCCACATTTATGCAGGTCAAAATTGCCACTGTGTTACCCGCAGAAGCTTTGTTTTACCTGTGTAAACTGTTTTGGGACTCCTGGTTTTTTTTTCTGTCGGAAATTAGAGTTGTTTGAAATGAAAATGTATTGGATTGACAAATGTCACACATTGTTTTTTAGATCCTGTGTATATGGCAGCCATCTTTGAGCTGGTTTTGGGGACTCTTTTTTTTTTTCAGTCTGAAATTAGAGGGCAAGTGTGTTCAAGGACCATTATAGTTAACCATAGTTCGACTGACTCTGATCCAACGCATGCTAGTCGACGATGGTTGGACTAGTCTAGTCAACTATTCAGGACCAAGGGCGGATCCAGGGGGGGGGGCCAAAGGGGGCCATGGCCCCCCCCAAAACGAAACCAATTTTTTTTTTTTTTATGTGACACATCGCAATAAAGGCAGGCAATGAGTACACCACCATCTTTTCCTCAAAAAAACATTGGTTAAAGTGGTCAGAAATTGCCTCAGATCGCACCACAGAGCATCTAGAATCCAAAAATTTTTCGGGGCCCTTAAGCGGGCCCCGAACCCCACGCCGTAATTTTTTTGACCCACTTTTTGGGGGCACCAAATTTTTCTTGGCCCCCCCCCCCAAATTGTGTTCTGGATCCGCCCTTGTTCAGGACCAGCCTACGGTGGATGGTCACGCAATATCAGTAGCAATTTTCATAGCATAATGCAGAGGGGACCAACTTTCAACAAAAATAGTGGAAAAACGAAACTGTGAGTGCTAAAAGTTCATTTTCATAGCATAGTTTTATGATTCTGTCATTTTTGTCACCATTGTACAATAATAATGGCAATTATGTAAGGTGTCCTGAACTACACAATCACTATTATATGTGTAAATAACCAGAAACATCAGTCGTTGAAAATTGTGGGACCACCATCTTCTCACAGTCGTTGACATGACAATAGCCCGCCTATAGTCGTTCGCACTTCAACTTCAGTGCGCATTGTGCTTAAGGTGCGTCACAAACCAACCACTAGTTAACCATTGGTCCTTGATCCAACTTGCCCAGAGTTGTTTGAAACGAAAGTGTATCAGATTGAAAATTGTTTACATGACGAAAGTGTATCAGATTGAAAATTGTTTACATGACGTTTTATAGATTCTTTACATAACAGCCATCTTCAAGGTGTGTA